ATCCTCATGTCAACAGCATGCAAGGCGTTTAGAACCAATCACATACATATTCAGGCTTCTGCTGGCGTGATGATTTTATCGTCTGGCAGGTCGGACACGCGCCCACGAACTTCTGCACGTCTGAAATCATGTCCGGCCAGTAATAAAACCGTTGCAATGCCTTCAGAGTCTTTTCAACCCCGAAATGTCTCGATAAGTTTGAATCCTGGACTTCTTGAATTAGTAATTCGCGAAGTAGACGATAACTCAGATTCTAAATTCGTTTCATTTCCGCTTTTACGTAATAGGCTCCCCCTGCAGTCGTGACTTGTTGGTGGCCGTTGTTCACGAAAAAGGGATCGGTCGAATATCTGTGGGTAAATAGTATGCTCATTAACGGGTTCATCTGGACGATTGATACAGCGGCGGTTTGGGGATATGGTCTGGAGAGGGCGTCAGCAATGTTGTTGGCACCCCTCGCGTACGTGATGTGATACGCAAAGTTCGACTCCAAATAATCCAACCAGCGAAACTGCCGCGGGTTGGGATTCGGCAGCGCTCGCGGGTACTGTAGGGATTTGTGATCTGTTCATACAGTCACGTCGGCTCCTATTAGGTAGCATCGCCAGATGTTGAACGGGTGCACGATCGCCAGCATTTCTTTGTCGTGTACAGGATAATTTCGCTCGGCCGACTGTAACTTTTGCGACTTGTACACGATTGGCGGAAGGCCGTCGCCAAAATCATGTAGCAGGATTGCTCCGATGGCGATGTCACTTGCGTCAGTCATGACTTCGAACGGTCGTTCTGGGTCAGCAATCCGAAGTACTGGTGGCAAGATTAAACCATTTTTTAATCCGCCAAATGCAACTTGCTGCTTCTCCTCCCACTGATAATCAGCGCCCTTATGAAGTAGGTCAATCAGTGCTTTAGTTAACCCCGCCATGTTGGGTATAAATCGGCGGACATAATTGACGAACCCCAAAACCGATTGCAGCTCCTAAAGGTTGGTCTGCGGCTTCCATTCCTGAATCGCCCGAATTTTGCGGGGGTCAATCTTCATGCCCTCCGTCGAAATAGCGTGCCCCAAAAACTCTAGTTATGTTTTAAAAACTCGCACTTAGAACCTTTGGTGATGAGATGATTCTGCTGCAGGCGCTGAAAACCCGCTTCCAGGTCCTTTAAGTGCTGCTCCCCATGTCGTGCTGTAAATCAGGATATCGTCCAGATAATTTATTACACATTTATCGAGTAATTCTTTGAATACCCCGTTCATCGCCAGCTGGAACATCGAGGGGGCATTTGTTAACCCGAATGGCATGATAGTGTATTCGTAACTCCCGTAGCAAGTACGAATTGCGGTCTTGTGGCAAGACTCGAATCTGATGGTAACCGCCGCGAAGGTGGATCTTTGAGAAATAATGAGCGCCTCGCAGGTGGTCAATCAGTTCGTCCGCACGCGAGATTGGGTAGAGAGATTTTATCGTAACCCGATTCAGGGCGCGATAATCGATGCACATTCGGAGGCCCCCATCTTCTTGGGTGTGAACAGGATCAGGGCTGCGAATGGGGACGTGCTCGGTCGAACGAACCCCTCGGCCAACAAGTAGTCCAGCTGGTCCTGTAGTTCCAGGAGCTTTGATTGCATCAGCCGCCACTGTGTCCAGACTTGGTTGCGCGTCAGGTTCGAGTTCGATCTGATGGTCTTGAGGGCGTTCTGGCGGCAGGCCAGGTGGCAAGTCGTCTAGAAAAATATATGGGAATTGACGAATGAATTTCGCCAGATCTTCGGGGACTGCTGCGTAGAGCTTGTCGTCGGTGAATCAGGCTATGGCTCGCACCACCATTGATGAAGATTTTTAAGTTTTTTTTGCCATTAACCCTTCCTTCTACGAGCACAGTGCGATCCTCAGGCTCATCCCCGTTATTCGTCTGAGAGCGGTCAATAGCGTGTACCGGTACCACTGCCCGGTGGAGATGCTGTTTCTCGGACGATGCAGCCGTGACAATAGGGGGCCCATCTGCTACTAACAAGAGTCGTTTCTCGGATTATCCCCATCGTTGTTTTTCCTCTGCTTTTGGTCAGGGCAGTCAGCATATCCGTGACCCGGCTGGTGGCAGTGAAAACACTGTTGCTTCATGCGATCTTCATTGTTTGCCACAATGCCATTGATCGAGGGCTGTTGATCCTGGCCACCAAAAGATATCCCTCCCAGGAACCCGATCTTGTGTATTTTTTATTGGCGTCGTACAGGTCAGGTCCTCAGGGGCAGGCGGCTTCTGGCGTGTAGTCTGTTGTGCCTGGCGAAGTTTGGTAACTTCGACGCGAAGTCTCTCGTTATCATTTAACACAGCTTGAAGGCGAGCGCCCGTGGCAGCGAATTTCGCCAACAGCTTGTCGAACTGTGCCTGGTCCATGTTGCGGACACTACGCTGGGTGGGCAGGGGAATTGCTAAAATTATCTAAGTTATAATTATATAGGCTTGGTAGGTTGTTACTGAACCTTTCTGTAGAGGGTACAAACCCTTCCTTGTACTCCTCTCTCTCCCTAATCAACTCTCTTTTCTCTCGACACTCTCGCCTACTCTCCTAGCTAAACCCCGCTGCCACATTCATGGCGGCCTTGTTCCTGCCTACTTCTTAGTAGCTACTTTAACATGGTATCAGAGCAAGATGCCCTCCCTGGGCTTGCTCCCCTCCGTGCTTCCGCTGCGTTTACGTTCCCTGTCTTCCAATTTCTTGCCGCCGTGGCAACTTCTCCGACGAGATGCCGCGGCGGCTCCTTTTTTTTGCTGCCGCCGTCTCAGCGTCGCCGAGCAGCAGCAGCGACGATGCCGCGCCGTGGTGGCGTCGTCGAGGTTCCGTGGTGCGTCGTCGGCCTGACGGCGTCGTAAGGCTGCCGTGGCGGCGTTGTCGGGCGACAGCCGGCCGCACAACGTCAGTGGTGCCGCCGGACCTGCCGCCCGCTCTATCGCCACCGGCGTGATTATGGACTACGGCGCGCCCCTCCCCCCCCCCCCCCCCCCCCCCCCTCCCCCACCTCCCCCTCCTTCCCCTGCATCCCCCCTTCCTTGCTGCAGCCGACGACTGGCTCATGAGGGCCCTCCCCACCGCCAAGGTGACTGGACATGCCGCCGAGAGGGTGGGGGCCGCTGCACCAGCCTCTGACGTTCATGCCGCCGCTGTTGCCGCGGGCCGGGCGTCGCCGCACGCCGCCGCCGCCGCCGCTGTCGTCACTGTCGCTGCTGCCGCCATTGCCGTCCCAAGGGCCGTGGGAGCTGTCCACTTCCGGAGTCGTTGCGGCTCCTGCTGGGAATGGGGGTGCTGGGCTAGGGGGTGTGGGTGTGGGTGTGGGTGTGGGTGTGGGGGTGTGAGTGGGCTTGACACTACCAAGCCTAGGGGGTGTGTTAAAATTATCTAAGTTATAATTTATATAGGCTTGGTAGGTTGTTACTGAACCTTTCTGTAGAGGGTACAAACCCCTCCTTGTACTCCTCTCTCTTCCTAATCAACTCTCTTTTCTCTCGACACTCTCGCCTACTCTCCTAGCTAAACCCCGCCGCCACATTCATGGCGGCCTTGTTCCTGCCTACTGCTTAGTAGCTACTTTAACAGGAATATCTGTGATCACCCGTGCTCAGGTAAGAGCGCAAACGCTATCGTAGTCGGGCGAATGGATTCGTCTAATTCGCGGCCGACCGTTTTGCAGCTCAGTGGCCGAACCACTTCTCCCCCTCCCCCCCTCCCCTTCCCCCCCCACCGAAAAAACGTTTTCCGCCTGCGGAAGCGGGTAGGTCAGGAAAGTAGCTATGAATACCAGATGTTATGAGTGTTTCACCAGAGTAGCGCGGAATCGAATGTCGAGGTTCAGAATAACAGAATGTGGTACAATGGAATGACGAAAGCAAGATATAGGTACACCGGTGCAATCCTAGCCGTGCGATTGAACAGGTTTGTAGAAGGCATCCGAGGACGCGGAGCGCTTCGGAGTGACGCAGAATGGTTCAGCGTGGCGTGTACGGGCCGAAGCTAGGGCAGGTGTCCGTGCCGTGTGGGGTTGGGGTATGCGTTAGCAGTGTGGCACGTTGAGGAATAGAAAATTCCTTACAAATATGCAGGCAAAACGGGTTACTTGGAATGTAACGCTGAATTGGAGTGTTCCGCTATGGACTGTTCGGTGGAATGGGTGCACCATAATCGAGGTTACAGAATGAGCCCTGAACAGTGGTGCATCAGATCTGAGTACTACGTGGCGGTCTGTGAAAGGAGGTTTGTGCTTTCGCGATCATCAAGTCGTCAGAACCGATTTTGACCGTCCATTCTCTCAGTGCATCAATTTTGGATTGCTGCTCCTGTACGGTATTGATGCTGCGCACGTCCTTGATGTCAAGCTGCAGCGTATGGGGGGAGAGGTGATGCGCGCGATGCAACGACCCTCGCGTTGCGCGCGCCCCCTGGCTGGAACTCCCAGGAAAGGCTGCTGGTTGGAGGAGGGGAGGAGGATGTTTGGGGGGAATCAGTTGGTTGGTGTGCAGTGTGGCGCAGGTGTGGGAGGGGGGAGGGGAATTGAGGAGACGACAGTTTGGGGTGGGGAGCGACGCGGAATTTTTTGGAGGGTGGCGCAATTGTTTTCGCAAAATGTGATTTCTAGTTGCGAGGTGCTGTACCGGTGGAACTCAGAACACAAGATGGAGCTGAGTCTGGAGGAACGAGGAAAAGGTTCATTTTAAAGTGGAACGCGAACGAGTTCTGGAATTAATAGCGGGTAGAAGAAGGTCCTCCTGATTGTTTCAAGACTGGCCTGGAAAAGGCTCTTGAACTTACGAGGTCCCTTATGTTGCTTTGACGAAACACCTACGTTTGCAAAGCAATTGCCCTGCCACCACCGTGCCTCTAGGTCAACTCCTCCCGCTGCCTCCTGTCTGCCTGCGTGCCTCTCATTTGTATTCCTCCTCTCCCCATCCACCACCACTCACCACCACGCCAAAGGCAGTAAACTCGAGGGTGGAGGGAGGAGAGTTCACAACAGTAGGCACACTGATACCTACAGTGGAGCTCAAGGGGCGGGCCGAGTCCAGGGGAGTTAGGTGGAGAGCGCTGTCGCGTTGTGGAAGCCAGCAGTGCTATGAGCTGGACATGTGAACCGTTGCTGCACGTCCAATTGTTATGAATGAACCAGAGGCTTCTAAGTTCTAACCACTAGATTAGAGCCGACTGAACTGTACATGCTAACTTCTCCTAGCTCCCTTTTAGTCGTCGCCTGAGTAGTGTCAGACCTAATCCTCTCCCAGCAGCATAGATCAAGCAAAACCCCACGTTCAAGCTTTATTTAGAGTTTGCGATTTCGCTTATCCTCTCACGCCCGTTGTGCACCAAACGAGGCCGGTAAAGTCGTGACGTTATTTTCACGTTCCTTCGCGGTCTAGGTTTCCCAACTGTTGACCCGTCCATCACTGTTCCCTCTCTCAATAAACGTTCCCTTTCGCAATATACTTTTAGTTGTCTCGGAGACTGAGCCATTCGGTTCGGCAAAGACGGCGCCAATGGCGCTTCGCGCCGCCTTAAAGTTTCCTAGTTCTCACAGCTTCGGCTCATAGCAGGAGCATTTTGAATCGACTCTCTAGTCACCTTGAGGCTTGGGAGGAGCCTCGAGCCATCCCAATCGCCTTGGTCCTATCAATTTCCCAAACTCACATCCGTTCTTATCGCTCTTTCAAGAGGCGTTCTCTGCTATAAATTTAGTACTTGTTTTCTGCCCGACCATCCAGAATATAAGCGTGTGTTTTAGGTTTGTGGTAACCACATGGCTACCAGCCGGCAGCGCGGTTACGCTCAGCCGCTATCCGGCGGGGAGGAGCAAGGCGGGCCCATGTCCCCCTACTCGCAGCCCCGCCGAATGGCCCCCGGCGGAGGCGGAGGGGAAGGTCCCCCCGCCCGCAATCCCGGTCGCGGACGCCGCGTAGCTGGTGCCGGCGGCGGCGGCGCTCCGCAGGCGCAATTCACGCGGATCAACTCGATGATCTACCAGCCATCTCCGCAGCAAGACGAGCAGCCGGCGGAGCCCCGTTATAAGCGGACTCTCTCTATGGTCGCCCCCGCGCCGAACAACAAGACCCCCCCGCGCGGAACCAGAGCAGGTGGGGGCCCGCACCCCGGCGGGGGAGCCATGGGCGCGGGGAGGGGCGGGCGGGGGAAGCTTCCGCACTCGTCGTCCGTGGGCGGACCGGACGGCGGAATGCGCAGGGGGGTAGGGGCGGTCGGCGCGGGGGTGGAAGACCCCTTGGCGGATCAATTCGGGCGGAGCATGACGGTCGGAAGCAAAGCGCCCACTCCCCGCGGGCCCGGCGCGGGGAGAGGCGCTGGCGGAGGCGGCGTAGGCGGAGGGGGGCCGTTTGGTGGCGGAGAGCCGGAGATCGGACGGTCGTTAACGGCCACTGACGGTCGGCACCGGTCGCCGTTAAGACAGAACCCTCACGCGACGGGGGGGATGGGCGTTGGGGGGATGATCACTCCGCGGAGGACCCAGGCGCAGCAGATGGTGGCGGGCGGAGGGCGCGGCGGAATGGGGGGAATGGGGATGGGGGGAGGCGCGCCGGGCAGTCCGTACCGCCAGCGCGCGGGGAGCGGGTTTTCGCAGGGTTACATGGAGGGAGGGGAGTACGGCGAAGACGGCGACGGGATGTACGAAGACGGTTACAACCAGGCGAACATGCAGCGGTCACGATCCACCGGCATGGGGATGATGGGCGGAGGCGGGCGCATGGGGGGCGGAGGGATGCCCATGGGGGGAATGGGCGGCGGAATGCCCCCGCATGGGCCTGGGGGAAGGGGAATGGGCGGAAGCGGACGCATGGGCATGGGGGAAGAGCACTACTACACGTCGGACGCGTCGGAAGGGGGCGGCGGCGGGGGGCTGTATCCGCGCAGCCGGTCGATGAACCCGCGCGTGGAGGGCGTGGGGGAGGCGGGGGGAATGGCGGCGCAGGGAAAGGCGGGGAAGGCGGAGGTGGACCCGTCGGAGCTGCCCATGCTGCCCCCGCCGGGGACCCCGCAAGTTGTGCAGGTGAGACGCAATCAGTCGACACTGCTTTTGAGTCGACTCAAAATCAGTCGTCACTATCGCAAAACCGAGACTTTTCCTCCTGTCTGCAAGCTCGGTGCACCTGGTTGGTTTGACGCCAAAAAACTGCGGAGAACAACCATTATATAATGGGTTTGGCTTTTTTCAACCTCTTTTTCAGTTCTCTCTCTCTCTCTCTCTCTCTCTCTCTCTCTCTCTCTCTCTCTCTCTCTCTCTCTCTCTCTCTCTCTCTCTCTCTCTCTCTCTCTCTCCCCCTCTCTCCTCTCACTCTCTCTCTCTCCCTCTCTCTCTCTCTCTCTCCCTCTCTCTCTCTCTCACTCTCTCTCTCGCTCTCTCTCTCTCCCTCTCTCTCCCTCTCTCTCTCTCTCTCTCTCTCTCTCTCTCTCTCTCTCTCTCTCTCTCTCTCTCTCTCTCTCTCTCTCTCTCTCTCTCTCTCTCTCTTTGTTTCCTTGAATCGGAAGAAAACGATTGACGCCATAATACAAACAAACCTGGTAGCAGGCAACGCATGGCTCTAGGCAACACATACAATACGCATAGCTCAACTCTAGACAGCTCCTGTCAAGGTTGGGGATTTGCAGGCACCTTTGGCGCATTGTTGCACGGTAAAGTGCTGGTAACCGCCAGTACTACTCTCCCTAGTGCATGCACGTCTCTCGTTTCAGAGCCAACCCGACGGATCCCCGCTCCATTCCCCCTCCCGCTCCCCCTCCCGCTTCCCCCTCCCGCTTCTCCGTTACCTCGCTTCTCCGTTACCTCGCTTCTCCGTTACCTCTCTTCCAACCTCCCTCGTTTCTCCCGCCTCGCCTCTCCCCTCCCCTCCTGACTCTCGTTTCACGGTCAACCCCACTAGTCTCCGCTCCGCTCTCCCCCCCTCTTCCCCTCCCTCTTCCCCTCCCTCTTCCCCCCCCTCTTCCCCTCCCTCTTCCCCTCCCTCTTCCCCTGCGACCTCGCCCTCCCCCTCTCCGTGCTCCCGTCTCCCCGCCTCTCCCTCCGTCCCCCCTGCCCTAAACACACCCAACAGTGCCAGCGCTGCTCCCAACCCGCCGCCCTCCCCCCAGCTAAGAAAGTGACTTTTGAGTCAACTCAGAAGTCACCAGCGCTGCTCCCAGCTACTTGAAGCACCCGCCGCCCTCCTCCCCGCAAAGAAGGGAATTCAGAAGCTGCGTTGCGGCAAGTGCATGCGCGTCTCTCTCTTCACAGTCAACCCCGCCGACCCCCGCTCCCCTCCCATCCCTCCGCTCCCCTCCCATCCCTCCGCTCCCCTCCGCTCCCCTCCCATCCCTCCGCTCCCCTCCCATCCCTCCGCTCCCCTCCCATCCCTCCGCTCCCCTCCCATCCCTCCGCTCCCCTCCCATCCATCCGCTCCCCTCCCATCCCTCCGCTCCCCTCCCATCCCTCCGCTCCCCTCCCATCCCTCCGCTCCCCTCCCATCCCTCCGCTCCCCTCCCATCCCTCCGCTCCCCTCCCATCCCTCCCATCCCTCCCCCCCCCTCTTTCCCCCTCACAATGCCAGCGCTGCTCCCAACTCCTGGAGGTGCTATCAGCCCTGCCCCCAGCGAAGAAAGGCATTCAGAAGCTGCGTTGCGGCAAGTGCATGCGCGTCTCTCGCTTCCAAGTCTACCCTGCCAATCCGCGCCCCCCACCCCCTCTTCCCCCCTGCAGTGCCAGCGCTGCTCCCAACTCCTGGAAGTGCCAGCAGCCCTGCCCCCAGCGAAGAAGGGAATCCAGAAGCTGCGTTGCGGCAAGTGCATGCGTGTGTCTCGCTTCACAGTCAACCCCGCCGACCCCCGCTCCGCCGCCGCTGCTGCTGCCGCGTCTGGCGGCGTGAGCGGTGGGGAGGGGTTTTCCGACAACCCCGATGTGGCTGACAGCGGGAGTGAGTACCAGCAGCAAGTGCCGCCTAGATCGCCTAGGCTGCTACAGGGGCTGCCAGGAGCAGGGTTTGGCGGGGGGAGAGGAGGGATGGGGGGAGGAATGGCAGGGGGAGGGGGAGGCGGAGCTCCCCCGCTTTCCCCCCGCATGCAGAGGCCTGGTGGGGGGAGTTTTGGTGGTCCCGGGGGCCCAGGTCAGCAGGTGCACAATCCAGGTCAGCACGGGCGCATGCCGTCCAACGCGGATTCCGAGAGCACTGTTGTGATTCGCCAGGAGTCGGCTGGGCGACACGCGGCCGGCAGTTTCTACCACCACATGCGGCCAGAATCGGAATCGGATCTGAGCTCCCCTGTGAGCGGTGCAGAGGGGTATGGGGGCGGAAGGGGAGGCGGAAGGGGGGGAGGCGGAGGGGGAGGGAGGGGGGATCTGCGGTGGGGGGCCCGAGACGGATGATCTACCAGCGGCAGAGTAGCTTTGAGTCTGGGGATCTGTCTTCCAGTGGGGGAATGCCCAGCCCGTCCCCCAGAGGACAGAGAGAGGGGGGGGAATGGGGGGAGGAGGGGGGAGCGGGGGAGAGGATCGGGTGACGTTCACGCGGCGGGTGATTGTGAATGGGGAGCCGATTCGCGATGACTATGTGTCTGTGGTGGAGCAGCGGGCGGGGCCCATTCACCCGGGCAACTTCTGGTGAGTGCACGGATCCCCTTCCCCCCTCCTCCCCTCCCCTTTACCCCCCCCTTCCTCCCCACACCCCCCCCCCCCCCCCCCCCCCCTTTCCCCCCTTCCCCTCCCTTGCTTCCCTTCTTACCTGGCCAGCCCGTCCCGAGTTTCCAGACTGTGGGGCATTTTTTTCATTTTTATTCTTATTTTGTACTTTGTTATGATTGCTTTACTGCAGTGTATGGTTGCAGGTACGATCAGACTGCAGGGTTCTGGGAGCGTCTTTTTCTCTTCTTCTGACCTGTTGTACTCTCTCCCCCCCAACCCCATCCCATCCCCCCTTCGCCCCCCCACCCCCCCCCCGAATCGCTATTGTGATTGTAGTTTTCCGCAATGTATGGTTGCAGGTACACGACCAATTGCAGGGTTCTGGGGCGAGATGGGCGGCTCTCCCTCACACTCCCCTCTTCCCCCCTTCTCCCTTCTCCTTCAAAATGTTGTTTCCATTTCACTTCCTTGCGGTGTATGTTTGCAGGTACGATCAGATTGCAGGGTTCTGGGGTGAGATGGGCGGCCCTTGCCTTGGCATCATCCCAGTGAGTAGATATCAAAGCTTGCAGCCATCACATCACATGATATGTGTATGAGCTTGCATTTAATTTATCTCAAAAGAATGTATTGTGCTTGGGCTTGGGGTGAGCATGGCTGAGTATGCTACTGACTACTGCTGCCTGATTTGAACTGAGTGGATGTTCGTCAAGTGATGGCAATGTTAATTTGAAAGACTTACTTTCTTGCCTCAACTCATCTTCCTCCCACAAACCCCACTTCATCCCCTTCTTCCCACCCCCTTCCTCCTCCGCCCTCCCTTTCCTGCTCCGGGGATTGAGTTTTGAACGCCCATCCCAGTGGACTGTGGGTGGGGCGCCGTGCGTGTCTTTTGAGTCGACTCAAAAGTAGCCCCATCCCAGTGGACTGTGCTGGGGGCGCCATGCGTGTGTATGTGAACAGGAGGGAGCTGCAGAAGGACCTGGACCGCCTCATGAAAAGGGGGTTGCCCATTCCTCTCCTCATTCCACTTCTGCATATTCCCCCTCCCTTTGATCCCCGTGCTTGGTTATTATGCAGCCGGGAATCGAGTTTGGGACCCCAATCCCAGTGGACTGTGCAGGGGGCGCCACGCGTGTGTACGTGAACGGGAGGGAGCTGCACAAGAAGGACCTGGACCGCCTCATGAAAAGGGGGCTGCCCTCCAAGCCCAACATGTCGTACCGAGTGGAGATCAATGGGAGCGTGTACGATGAGGAGACGGGCGACTACCTGCTCAGCCTGGGGAAGCTCGCACCCTCGTGAGTAGTGATGTTTCCGCTGGGTGAAGCTCTGTACCGCTTCTTGAGCCTGCTTTCATATTGGCTCGACCCGAAAGCCCAACATGTCGTACCGAGTGGAGATCAATGGGAGCGTGTATGCTGAGGAGGCATGCAACTACCTGCTCAGCATGGGAAAGCTCGCACCCTCGTGAGTACGTTCTTTTTCCCCCCCTGTTACGGTGTGATTGAGTGGTGAATAGTTCCGGTTCTTCATCCGTGATGTGTTTGTGATCCGTGATCTGTATGTGTGTGGTAGGAAGGTTGGGAAGCCATGGGCGAGACAGGATTTTGAGGTTGGAATGGAGCTTGTTTTAGGAGTATGTTGGGCAGAAAGGAGGCGGTCAGGGGGAGCTGCATGGGAGTGTCTGGCGAAATAGGCTGGGTGATGGAGTGTGGGGTGGATAATCGTCATCAACAGTTCGGTTCAATGCTTCCTTATGTGCCCCCTTTCCTTTTGTGGTCTCCTTGTCTCGTCTTGCAGGCTAGAGACAAGGAAACGAGGTGGCGGCATGAAGGTTCCTGAATCTAACTGACGAGCTAGTCTCGTCCATGTTGAAAGCTCTTGGTGTCAACCGTTCTGATTACAGTATATTGATCGTCTTCCGTTTCTGTAGGTCGCTTCGGTGGCATGGCATGACAGGTCCCTCGTACTCTGTCACTAGGGCTCCAGTTTATCCGTGATGCCTGTCACTGCCCTGACGGCAGGATGGGATTACCGTATGTCATGTTCTCTAACCCATCTCAATCCTGCTATTGCCTACAGGATGTAGAGTTGGCGTGGTAGAGATAGCATGTCGGTAATTCAAGATTATTTTGTATACAGAACAGAAGGCTCCTCAATGGCTCTCCATGACAGAACATCACTTGCAATCGTAACACGCAGCTGCACGTTTTTTTGCGGAGACTAGCCATCTCTTCATTTCAGAGTGTTCATGTGCTGGCGAAACCTGCCTTGAAGAGCAGGATGGCATGGCCCTTGAGGAAAAAGTAAATAAAGTGTTTTTCTTCATGCGTCACGTAAGATCCTGCAGTACAACAAGCCAGCTCTCATCCCATGGTCGCGTTCCTCATCCTCGGTCGGAAGAAACAGACGACGCATTCAATAAAAACCATTCTGTAGGAAGCCTGGAAGCATGGGAACTGGGAAACTGTCAGCAATCCTCACCGAAATTCTTCCCAACGATGCAGTGCCACACGGGCGTGTGCTTCTCATCAAACGCTGTCTTTATATGCAGCGCAATATCTTGCTGAGCTGTTTTCGATTCCAGTGCCTGGATATGAATCACGTATATTATTAGCCAAGGATCAGCGGTGTTTGGAAGCTCAGATAGCACACAGCGCTAACCTCGGTCGCTATCGTAATGGCGTCGTTCTGCATTTCCTCAGGCATGTCAGACTTCTTGATCTGTGCTTCTGCAGCCATGGCGAACGTAACTTTTAATCGCAGAGATGCTGGACGGAAGTTCAGACCAAATTGGGTTGTTTGTTTGAGAAGTGGATGAGGGACCTTGCGCTGACCTCTTCTAGTGTACGAGGCGTCTACGGCAGAACTTCAAATTTGGAGGAACCAAGGTTTCGTGTTGCTCGCAAACCTCTGGTTTGGCCAGGCCAGCCAAGCCAATGGCTAGATACTGTATTGTCCACTTCCCAGTGGCACAACCTGGGGAACAGGCCAGGGGTGTGGTTTTGGTGTGGCATGACAAGCAGGTTTGGTTTGGCGGAAATACTGGTATGCCGGTTACCACTTCGCTAGAGCTTGGTGTGGAGAACATTGCATGCCTTTTCGCAGCGTCGATTTTCTCAATCTGTTGTGGGGTGGGATGGTCTAGGATTTTGAAATTCCTAAGTCGAGTACCAACAGAATGGTATCTAGAAGTTGTTACTAGGCTCACGGTTTGGGTCCTTCCATCGCGTCCAGCTATTCTGCAACCGCGCGATGTCGCGAAACAAGTGATGATCACGTTGTGGGCTCATGTTAGGTTCATACAACGCGTTACATGACCCTCGCGATGGCTCGCAAGAGCTTGCATCAAAGAATAAGGAGCGCGACCAAGATTGTTGAGTCCATGGAACTACCACGAGAAATGACGACAAAAACTGGTGAGCTGCGATTCTCCGCGAAGGCAAGATTCAGAACGTGGCGGACGATAAACGGGTCCAATTGACGTGGAAATCGCATCCGCCTTGGGTGGCGTCTGCACACATTCAGCTGTCCCACTCTCTCACTGCAGGGATGGTTTTCCACCTGGAGAAAAAGCCGAGTAGAGCATTGCGCCGTGAAGAAAAGCTTTGGTTGGAAAGCCTGCTCAAGGTATGACCGTCGCATCTGGCTTTTACTTTGTTTGCCGTGCTAAGATACAATAGTGTCAATCACTCAACGATGGCTTCTTCATGATCTGTAGCATTCAGCCTCTACGTTCCTTCCAACAAACACGCCTTGTTTCGCGTGCATGATCTGCTCCAATAATCATGGCAGAGGAACATGGAGGCGCATTTCTCACCTGAAAATTGGCCACAAGTGCTCTCGGATAAGCTAACAGAATCTGTGGAGCCTGACGCCATCTATCTCTTTCTCCGAGAATCGAAGGCTGTCAATCAGGCCACTACTGATGCAAAATCAGTGGCTGTAGGGAGCATGGCTGCATGCACAGCGGAGACGAGAATGAGGGCAAAAGCTCCAGGGACCATATTTTCTGCCGACACTTCACAGCATGAATGTCAAAAACCCTCCGAGCCTCAAGTGCAGGAGGAAGGAAGATCTCAACAGCAGCGTCAGCTCCAGCTTTCGTCCAATGCAAGACTTGGACACAATGTCACAAGCCAGCTGTGGAATACCAATGCCTCATATCAAGAGATGTATGGGGGATGTAAGGGGACTAACTGCACCACAGGATGCAAGCTTGCAGGCTTTATGCACTTCCGTATTGTGGAGGAGGATGAGATGGCTTCTCTGTACGTGTACGAATTACAAGTGGAGGAGGAATACCAAGGAATGGGTATCGGCAGCAAGCTGATGAGGATTGCTGAGCTCATTGCAAAGAAGGTATGACAGCTGAACCCCGTTATCGAACTTCTTCTTCTGTTTGTCTTCTTACTCTATTGCACAAACATCACCATAGCATGAAGAGCCATAGCCCTTAAGTTTTATTGCAAGTTAAATAGTTCCATTGACTAGCATACAGTGGACACTTTGGTTGCCTTCAATTTCCATCTGTACACCTTTCCACATTTTTCCCGTCCCAGCTCTTCATCCCCTGGTCCTGCCCCGTGTGTGCTTCTTCAATTCGTACCCTCGTTTTCTGATTTGCAATTTTTCTCCCAGTGTGGGCTTGATGCCATCTTCCTAACAGTTCAAAAGAAAAATACAGCTGCAAGGACGCTGTACATGAAGAAGTTGGGGTGAGCAAATTTTAGCATCAGGGTCCATCCAGTATGATAGTACTGTAATTGAAGCAACCCATTTGACGTATGGACCCCCTCATTGCAGGTTCCAAATTGCGGATCACTCACCAGCAAGGGTATGACACTTCCCCTTGCAGATTCCCTTTTGGCATTAACCCCCGACTACACACATGGTCAAATAGTTGAAAGGTGGACCGGATTCATTTTCCCTGCACCACTCCCACCTCCTTTCAATATTCTCTTCCCCCCTCCTTTCTTTCTCTCATTATCTCACTAACTCTTTTCCCCACGCTTCCACCCACAACTCACACCCCTTGATTCAATGTTGCGATGCGTACAACAAATTGTTATTCGCAATTTAGCAAGGATTTTTTTTTTTAAATCTTTGCCGTTTTGCCTTATCCTTACAGGATGAGGAGCGGGAGTACGAGATACTGGTAAAAGAAGTTGCCTAACTGTTTGGAGAATATATTAATTTCGTTCCACTTAGTGTTTTCACTCTTATTACGGTAATTACGGCTTGCATAGGCACACATTCACCAACATTGTCAGTGGAACACGCGTGGCGCAAGCTCGGAATGCTTATCAAGGCAGTGCAGTGCACACAGACCGAGGTGTCAGACAGTGTCAGTCCAGTTAGGCCTGCCTTCCGTCCAAAGCTGAGTCTTGGAAAAGCAGCAAAAGCAGCACTGAGGGTCGGGGAGCTGCAGCACTTATTTCTGGGACGAGTCCTGGCCTGCACACAGTAGGAGAGAACGTTATAGGCCGAACTGCGATAGGTAGGAATATTACTATGGCGTAATAGGAATGCCATGGTTCTTGCTAGCCTTCCCACTTAGCTCTATCACGATATCGAGAGCTAGTTTGTGCTGTGGACCGTGCGCTTGAAGCGCTACGATATGACAGGGCCACTTGGTCGGACCGCGTACTCTAGTGGTAATATTACGGCCGGCGGAGGTGGTAAAGACTTGAAGAAGCCGAGCATCGATCGAGCCGAATGTGGTTCGAGCGTGGAGACCCCGAGCAAACTCGTGCGGCGACGGCCATGGCTGGCCAGTCCTCTCAAACTGGCCACGCCGCGAGTCTCTAAGCCGCTTCTCCTCCTGAGCATTCTCGTGGCTGTATTCCTGTGCTACGCATTCAACCCTAGCGTACTTAACCGTTATTTTGCTGGTTCTACGGGGAGAACCACATTACGTACCGTGTCTTTGAGCGGTGACGCCAATGTAACTTGGCGACAACCCGAGGAGGTTCACGTTGTGTCCCGGATTGTTCACTCCAGAAACACGAATTCGAGGAGTTATCGCTTAAACATTTCGACCAGCTGCGTGGAGGTGCTTCAGGCAGCCGCTAAGCTCCCTGGTGCCAGGAAAATTCTTGTCAGTGCTTCGCGCTTAGCTAAGTGCAGAGGCGATCTATGCTCGGCAATGCAGCAACTCGCGAGTCAAGCTTCAAAGAGAGCAGCTTCAGCTGCTCTGAACGAGGATCAGAGATTTTCCTCTGCAATGAGCAAGCAAAACGGTCCATTAACCCCTGCTGACCTGCAGGCTATCCAAGAGGGTGACCTAGGATTGGTGTGTAGCAGGGAGTGGAAGCACGGCCTCATGAGCCGCGTTCCTGACAATCATTTCTTCAGGAAGGTTCTCAGCGGCAACCGAACTTCGTTGGCAATCATCTCTGCTCAGATCGACTCTATCTGCGGGAGAATACGAGAGATTGAGCATAATCTTACCAGAGGTCTCGATGCGGACAGTTTGAGTGACCCTGACAGTAGCAGCAGCATGAGTGGCCCCGACAGTCCGTGCAACCACTGGCCTGAGTCGTGCTGGCCCGTGCCTGGCATGCCCTTTTTCAGGCTCGCTGTAAGCACATATGCGGGCCGTGATGACCTTTGTGCATATCTGTTGCCTTGCGTGCCCGTCTCCTAGCTCGCTGTGACTGCAAGGGCATCTGGTTTTGTCGCTGGCCTGTGCCTGGCAAGCCCTTTTACAAGCTCGCTGTCGAAGGTAATCCGTTCATCCTTGCTGCTCAATATGTTTTCTTATTTCGTATCTTTTCTTACTTCCTTTTCTTTTTCAGGATTTTGGTCGGCGCAAGTACCTGGTGTTTGCAGCGGTGGAGGAGCAGCTCACCAACGCCAAGATCCACTTCATCGAGGCGGCTAAGGTCGCCAGGGAGTCAAACCGCATCCTCGTCCTGCCCAAGGTGCTCGCTCTCACCCCCACAACTCTGCCTTCGGTGCATATGTGCGCTCTCGTGCCATCTCACGCCTTCCCATGCCTTCCACGTCATCGAGGCGGCTAAGGTCGCCAGGGAGTCAAACCGCATCCTCGTCCTGCCCGAGGTGCATGTCAGCTTTCCCTGCGATCTCTAATTTTCTCAAGCATTCCTGCGTGTCTGCCATCCATGCGTTTTATTCCCGCGCTCTCAGGTGACTTTTGAGTCGACTCAAAAGTCATCTCTAACTTTCTCCTACATTCCTGCGTGTTTGCCATCCATGCCATATGATCCCGTCGCTCTCAGACAGCCCGCCTGCTTCTGCAAAGAGGGCACGCATCACTCTCATTGCTACTCTTCTTTTTGTTTTATTCTGGAGTCTCTGTAGCTCCGTGTAGCTCAGTGCTATCCCTGCAGACCAGCTAACTGGTTGCTGCCGTTTCACCACATCTTACCTTCATCCAGAACCCCCCCCCCCCTCCCCCCCCCTCCAACTCTTCTTCTCTCTCCTCCTTCCCTTCCCCTCCCAGGGCGGGCACAGCCACCTCGCGGTGGGGCGGCCCATGCCCATGTGCGCCTACTGCGACCTCGCCCACCTCAACAGCACGGAGTGGGTCTCGCCTGAGTTCTTCCTCCTCGTCGCCCGAGCTGCCTTCTCCACTCTCTCCCTCGGCTTCCTCTGTGTCGACACGCCTGACCTCTCCAGGCCCTGCTTTGGAACCAGTGAGTATTCCGTGCAGTGGGTTCAGTGCAGTGGGTCCATTGCAGGAAATTTTGTGACGTGAGCCTCCAGGCATGCATCTCCCACCCACCCGTCCCTCGGCTTCCTCTGTGTCGACACGCCTGAGCGCGCCAGGCCCTGCTTTGGAACCAGTGAGTATTCCCCGATTTGATCGCATCAACAGCTTTGTGGCTAGAGTGGTGTCTTTTCAAGACTGATAAATCAGTGCAGTGAGTTTAGCGCACTGAGCCTTCGGGCATGTGAGCCTTGAGGCATGTGAGCCTTGAGGCATGTGAGCCTTGAGGCATGTGAGCCTTGAGGCATGTGAGCCTTGATGCATGTGAGCCTTGACGCATGTGAGCCTTGAGGCATGTGAGCCTTGAGGCATGTGAGCCTTGGGGCATGTGAGCCTTGAGGTATGTGAGCCTTGAGGCATGCGAGCCTTGACGCATGCGAGCCTTGACGCATGTGAGCCTTGAGGCGTGCGAGCCTTGAGGCATGCGAGCCTTGAGGCATGTTAGCCTTGAGGCATGCGAGCCTTGAGGCATGCGAGCCTTGAGGCATGTGAGCCTTGACGCATGTGAGCCTTGAGGCATGTGAGCCTTGAGGCATGTGAGCCTTGAGGCATGTGAGCCTTGAGGCATGTGAGCCTTGAGGCATGTGAGCCTTGAGGCATGTGAGCCTTGAGGCATGGGAGCATTGAGGCATGTGAGCCTTGAGGCATGTGAGCCTGAGGCATGTGAGCCTTGAGGCATGTGAGCCTTGACGCGTGTGAGCCTTGAGGTATGTGAGCCTCCCCACGATTTGGTTTACCTTCAGGGGGGAGCATGTCGTCCACGTTCTGGTAACCGCATTGCTGTGCCCTAGGCTCTTCCATCATTTCCGTACCTCACATAGGTGAATATCTCTCACCATCCCCCCAGCTGTCCCTTCAAATGCAGGGGGGAATCGCCGGAAGCCTGGGCCCGGTGTTCACCCTCCCTGACCATGGCCGTTCGTCATGCCTCCACATTTGGTTGAGCGATGAGCGCCACCTTCTCTATTGCATCTATTGCAATCCGTGCCATTCTCCACTATTCTGGATGCCTGGAAGCCTGTCTGGACCCAGTTCTCACCCTGACCGAGGGTCAGTCTCCACATATGGTTGAACGATACGCACCTGACTTACTCCCCTGACTTTCCCCCTGCATGCAGAGGAGATTGCGAGAAGCCTAGGGGCGCGGCTCACCCTGGCCATGGGCCATTGCTTCACCCCACGTGGTCCATGGATGAGCATGGGTCGTCATTCCCCTGACTTCCCCCCCGTATGCAGAGGAGATCGCGAGAAGCCTGGGGGCGCTGCTCACCCTGGCCATGGGGCATGTGCCTGCGCGTGGCAACATAGTCAAGCTGCACATGCCGTCCCGCATCGACCATGTGCAGACGCTGCTCAAAGCCTGGTGAGTCTTTCTTTGAGTGGACTCAGTGGTCGCTTCACATGCAGAGGAAATCACTGGATGCTTGGGGGCAGTTGGTTTGTTTCTTCCCATGCGTGCCAACACCATCAAGCTGCACATGCCAGCCCGCATTGACCATGTACAATCGCTGCTCAGAGCATGGTGAGTCTCCCTCAATGCCTCCCCTGGTCCGAGCGTGGCGAGTCTCCTTTTGAGTCGACTCATCACGTCTCATGCAAAGGGCATCGCTGGAGACCATGCGTGAGGAGTCTATTTTTGAGGCACCTAAGAAATAGACTCCTCACGCCTGGAGACCTAGGGGCACTCTGAATTTTCCTATGTGCGACAACACTGTCCAGCTCCACATTACGGCTCGCATTGACCATGTGCAAACGCTACTCAAAGCATGGTGCGTCTCCCTCAATGCCTCCAAAGACGTGTGGCTTGCCCACTTCCTTACGGCGCATTGCAGGGCTGACAGGGACGTGGTGATCTACTCCAAGAACACCTTTGACCGCTTTGACAAGGCAACAGACGACATTGCGCAAGATGTGATGCCCTATGCAAAGCAGTGGCGTGATGTGGCTGACAGCATTGTTGCTGGGCTTCCCAAGCCATTTATTGCCGTCCATTTCCGCTCCGAGTTCATTGCGTTTAACCTGGTAAGTCATGTTTAATCATAAAAACTCGGCAAGTATGTGTGCGCATATCACCGCGGTACATTGCTTGCATTCTCGTCTCATCGCCCTGTTTGGTAGTCCGAACGATTTCTGTTTTTTTTATGCACGGCGCAATGTTTCCATGGCGCACGGTGGTGCCACCATGAGCAGGCGGAGGAAAGAAAGAGTGATCTATCTTCTGCAGAGAGGTTAACGATCCTGGGAGATCGCATGGAGCAATGCACCAGGTTGGCCGTCCGGCTGATTAACCGTATGAAGAAGACACATAACGCAAGTACTGTTTTCATTGCCGCCGATGTACCGTATAACAAGTCAAGAGTAACGCCACGCTCCGAGTCTTGGGGGGCCATGTCTTGGGCGTTTGGCAACAGCACGCTGACGGAGGTGCCTCAATACTGGCTGGCTTGGCTGCGGAATAAAGTCAAGGGGACGGTCATGATTGACGAGCTCATGCCATCTTTGAACAGCCAAGATCCAGGTATGAGATAAATTTCCTTGTTTTATTCTTTTTCCCAGACATCTGTCAATATGGTACATGGACAATTGGGTGCCATGGTTGATGCGTTGCGATCGTGTTGCTGCAGGGATCGTTGCCATTGTTGACAAGCTAATATGCGCAGAGTCCACGATCTTCCTAGCTGGCTCTGGAGCATGTGGTGGTCGTCGTAACTTTGAGAAGGATATTCTCCTTCATCGTCGAAACATATTGGGCGAGTCCACTCGCATTCCTCGATGGGCCCATGGACAAAAGCTGCTGTGGGATAAGGCCTAGTTCAAAAGAGCGCTCATGTGATGTGTGTTATTCAATTGTTGTGCAAGTCTAACGCTAAGTCATCCCGTATCACCCCGTATAACGGGGTTGCTGCAGATCAGCAGCTGCACGTCTCACTGCCACATGCGATCCTCGCGCCTTGCGTGCGACTCGACTGACACCCGTGGGACTGCCTGTCGCAGCGGTACATTCGCAACCTGTTCGAATTGGGTGTTAGTGATTATAACGAAGCCTGGATGAAGCAAACCGACGACAAGACTGGCAGCAATGCCTAGTGGTGTGGTGTGTGGAGGGGTCTGATGGGCAAGAGCTGAGCCAGTTACCGTATTGAACCAAGACAAAACAAAGTTTACCGCTTTCTACCATGTCCATTTTGTATCGAGGCAAGACGGACCACCACCACACAGCCCTCCCAACAGCCGGCCGTGACTTGTCAAGCGCATGTTTGGCCAAGCGTCCGAGCCGAACAGATCTGGCCGAACTTCCACCACACTGTACCACGCGATTATCTTACTGCAATGCCCAAATGTTCTTGAAGCCTCTACAGTATACCACTTCGCCCGTCCGAACTGTTCGAACACAAAGCTGCACGCACTAAGCTATTGATTCTGCCGAAGGCTGAATTCACCTTTGTCCAAAGTTCTAAAACTAAGGACTTGCTCTCTCGTTCTCCTGACGCTTTAGTGAGGTTCGTAAGTTTCGCCGGCTACGTTGTGCTGGTGACGACTCGAACCGGTAGATAGTCGGATAGAATGTGGGTTACAGTCGCATGACATGTCGGAAAGAACAGGTTTGTTTGTTGTCTGGTGGATTTAGGGATGACTGGCTGGAGCTGTGTTGGAGAATATAACTTGCCAGGATGTCGCGAAGAACTTGACTAGCGAGAGTTCAGAAAAGCCGATAGAAATAAGACTACTAATTACCCCGTTGCTTAGGATTCAGAAGGGTGCTGGGCTGACCTGATCTGAGCTTAGCTGAGCTGACGCGGTGTCTTTAGACGGCCGCTTTTGAGTCGTCTGACAGGCTTAACCCGCCGCGTTGGGAAGGTTGCCGAGCTTCGCGCCGACCGTCTCACTCACCCATGTGATCGTCTCTTCCTGCCACGTCGATCGTCTGACCCTTAGCTCCTCGTCAGCTTTACCTCGATCGTTTGACGCATGCGACCGTCTCTTTGATTCTCCTCAGCGTCGCACGCACACCCCTCCGATGACGACGACGTACAGTCGATCGTCGCACCCCTCTGACGCCGCCGGACTCAGCGACATGAGTCCAAAGTCGTTTGGAATCAGCGACGTGAGGCAGCAAGACGCCTTCTTTCGCTCGCCGACCGTTCTCGGAGATTCGCCGAGCAAGTTCTGTCGACGGCGACCGTGGCTGGCTAATGCGCAGACCATGGCCGCGCAACGGTCCTTGAAATCCGTTTTGCTCCCAATCATCGTGATCGGAATGTTCGCCTGTTGTTCGATCTACGCGGGGATTATCAGCCGGTATCCCGGAGTGAATCTACGCCGTTTGTTGATATCTGACGTGTCATCCACGGCGAATGACGATCTGAATCCGTCAAACGTTAACCGGAGTTCCCAAGGGTCAACATTCCAAATTTCCGAGTCCTGCATTGGCGTCCTGAAAGCAGCAGCCAGACTTCCCGGCGTCAGGGTGAAATTTACTCCGATTCAGCTGACAGAATGCAGCGTCAGTCTCTGCCAGGACATGCGGCATCTGGCTCACCAGGCGTTGGAAAGAGCGGCAAATGCAACGAATCTGGACGCTTCAGGGTTTCAAGCAGCAGCGACTCAGCAGAAGCGACCGTTGCGAATCGGTGACGTGGAGCTGCAGCAGCAGCAGGGGGACGTGGGGTTCGTGTGCAGCCGGGCGTGGAAGCAGGGGCTGCTGGACCGCGTGCCGGGCAGCCGGTACCTGACCCGCGCGTTCAGGAAGGAGCGCATCTCGCTGGAGAGTGTCGCAGCTGGCGCCGACTCCGTCTGCAAGAACGTGGCAGAGATCGAGCGGTTGCTGGCGAACGGCTACACTGATGCCAGCGGCACCAGCAATAGCAGCAGCAGCAGCAGCCTGAGTGGTCCTGACAGCCCGTGCAACCACTGGCCTGAGTCGTGCTGGCCCGTGCCTGGCATGCCCTTCTCCAAGCTCTCAGTGAGTCCCTTAGCCTCCCCCAAAGGGTTCCTGAAGAGATGATGCTCATCCCTGGTGCTCTCTGTGCGTGCGTTTCAGTCATGCCTTGACAAACGCTGGTTTGCAGCAGTGGAGGATGACCTGCCCATCGTGTCTTGACAAACGCCACTCCTCCCCCTCCCCCCCTTCCGGCCCCCAACAACCCGCTACCATAGTTGACGTCTGGTGCAGCCGTTAACTGGTTTGCAGCAGTGGAGGATGACCTGTTCATGTGCCTTGTGGTTCTTTTTTATTTACGTATTCCGTTTCCACGACTTTTTTTCCTCTACTTTTCATTTCAGGACTTCAGGCGGCGCAAGCTCCTTTTGTTTGCAGCAGTGGAGGATGGCCCCTTCACCCCCCATGGTGCACTTTCTTTTCTTTCTTTCTTTCTTTCTTTCTTTCTTTCTTTTCTTTTTCGACTCAGGATTTTGGTCGGCGCAAGTACCTGGTGTTTGCAGCGGTGGAGGAGCAGCTCACCAACGCCAAGATCCACGTCATCGAGGCGGCGAGGGTCGCCAGAGAGACGGGTCGAATACTTGTCCTGCCCAAGGTGCTCTCTCTGACCCCTTCATCTCTGCCCAAGGTGCTCTCTCTGACCCCTTCATCTCTGCCCAAGGTGCTCTCTCTGACCCCTTCATCTCTGCCCAAGGTGCTCTCTCTGACCCCTTCATCTCTGCCCAAGGTGCTCTCTCTGACCCCTTCATCTCTGCCCAAGGTGCTCTCTCTGACCCCTTCATCTCTGCCCAAGGTGCTCTCTCTGACCCCTTCATCTCTGCCCAAGCTGCTCTCTCTGACCCCTTCATCTCTGCCCAAGGGGCTCTCTCTGACCCCTTCATCTCTGCCCAAGCTGCTCTCTCTGACCCCTTCATCTCTGCCCAAGGTGCTCTCTCTGACCCCTTCATCTCTGCCCAAGGTGCTCTCTCTGACCCCTTCATCTCTGCCCAAGCTGCTCTCTCTGACCCCTTCATCTCTGCCCAAGGTGCTCTCTCTGACCCCTTCATCTCTGCCCAAGGTGCTCTCTCTGACCCCTTCATCTCTGCCCAAGGTGCTCTCTCTGACCCCTTCATCTCTGCCCAAGGTGCTCTCTCTGACCCCTTCATCTCTGCCCAAGGCTGCTTTCGTGGCCTTCCACGCTGTTAAGGTGTGCTTTTGACGCCTTACGTCTTTCTGTGGCCCCTCTCGCTGCCTGAAACGGCAGCATCCATCTGTCTGCCAGCATGCCCCTCCCGTTCGCCTCTCCTCTCCATCTCCCTTCACTTCTTCTCTATCTCCATTTCCATTTCCAGGCCACACGACACCACCTGGTGGCGATGGGTCGCCCCATGCCCGTGTGTGCCTACTGCAACCTCCTTATGCTGATGCCTTTTTGCCTTTTTGCCTTTTTGCCTTTTTGCCGTTTTGCCGTTTTGCCTTTTTGCCGTTTTGCCGTTTTGCCTTTTTGCCTTTTTGCCGTTTTGCCGTTTTGCCTTTTTGCCTTTTTGCCTTTTTGCCTTTTTGCCTTTTTGCCTTTTTGCCGTTTTGCCTTTTTGCCTTTTTGCCGTTTTGCCTTTTTGCCTTTTTGCCTTTTTGCCGTTTTGCCTTTTTGCCTTTTTGCCTTTTTGCCTTTTTGCCTTTTTGCCTTTCTCATCTGGCTGTTTTGTCTTGTAACCCCCTTCTCTCTCTCTCCCCCTCTCCCCCCTCTCCCCGTCTTCCCCTCTCGCCCCCCTGCCAGGGCGGGCACAGCCACCTGGCGGTGGGGTGCGCCATGCCCAGCTGTGCCTACTGCGACCTAGTATGACTGTGCCTGTCTGTGTATGTATTACTTCCCCCCTTCCCCCCACCTCCTCCCAGGGCGGGCACAGCCACCTGGCGGTGGGGCGGCCCATGCCCATGTGCGCCTACTGCGACCTCGCCCACCTCAACAGCACGGAGTGGGTCTCGCCTGAGTTCTTCCTCCTCGTCGCGCGAGCTGCCTTCGCCAACCCTTCTGTCGGCTACCTCTGCGTCGACACGCCTGAGCTGGGCAGACCGTGTTTCGGCACAGGTGAGCGAAGGCAGCAAATGCTACCTGTAGTCAGTTCAAGAGATGCCTTCTCCAACTCTTCTGTCGGCTATCTCTGTGTCGACACACACACACCTGCGCTGGGCAGACCCTGTTTCGGCACACACACACCTGCGCTGGGCAGACCCTGTTTCGGCACAGGTGAGCAAAGGCGGTCGCTCTAGTCAGTTCAAGAGCTGCCTTCGCCAACCCCTCTGTTGGCTACCTCTGTGTCGTTGGTTTCGTTGGTTGCCTCTGCTGGCCGCCCTTTGTTCCTCCACGAGCAGTCGAGATCGCAGGGAGCCTCAGGAAGGTGGACTTCTCTCTAGCCATGGGGCATGTGCGCACACAACACATGCACCATGTGGTTTTGGAATGCTAGCTGTGCCATGGGGCATATTCGTCTGTCGTTATTCGTTGTCGTGTGAGCAGACGAGATCGCAGGGAGCCTCCCTCGGTCCCTCGGGGCGGACTTCTCTCTAGCCGTGGGGAATGTGCGCACACAACACATGCACCATCTGGCTGCGGAATGCTAGCTGTGCCACGTGGCATATTCATCTGCGGTTCCGTTATTCGGTTATTCGTTGGCATGTGAGCAGAGGAGATTGCAGGGAGCCTGGGGGCGGTGTTCACGCTGGCCATGGGGCATGTGCCCACCAAGGACAACACCATCTGGCTGCACATGCCCGCCCGCTTCGACCAGATACAGTCGCTGCTCGATGCGTGGTGAGCTGGATCGGGTAAATGCCTCAGGCATACATGGCAGCCTAGATGCATGGTATGGTACACCCTGCTCAGTTGACTTTTGAGTCCACTCAAAAGTCATGGTATGGTACACCATGCTAGATGCATGGTATGGTACACCATGCTAGATGCATGGTATGGTACACCATGCTAGATGCATGGTATGGTACACCATGCTAGATGCATGATAATGCTTATAGGTTGCTGTGCAATGTCCCTGTTTGCTTTCCCGCCGGCCATTCCGGCTTTCTCAACCTTCGTTTGCTATGTGGAGTCGTCCTCTCCTCTCCTCCACGTATTTACCCCCCCTTTGCCCCCCTCTCCCTTTCTCTCTGGGTGTTTGTTCCCATCTGTTCCTCCCTCGCTCTTGCAACTTTTGTGACCCAGGAATCAGCACAGGGATGCGTGGCGGTCAATGCGAAGAACACGTACGAGCGCTTTGAGTGGGAGACCGACTGACCACACGTCGCATACTATTTTTGAGTCGACTTTTGAGTCTTCTCATACCATCCTGCCACACACCTGCTAACAGCACGTCTGTCCCTTGTGTTCCGCCCCCTGTGCCACCCAGGAAGCACAGGGACGTGGTGATTTACGCCAAGAACACGTGGGAGCGCTATGAGAGGGAAACAGACGATGTCTCGCACATCATCCTCCCCTACGCCCGCGAGTGGCACCTCGCTGCCAAGAGCATGGCAGCCAAGCTGCCCAAGCCATACATCGGAGTTCACTTTCGATCCGAGTTCATTGCCTTCAGACTGGTGGGTGGGGTGTGTCGCAGAAGGTTCTGTGCATGCATGGGCCCACATGTTATCATTCTGCTGCACAGCATCCTGCCCTGCGCCCGCAAGTGGCATCTCTCGCTGCCAAGGGCATGACGGCCAAGCTGCCCAGCCCAAACATCGGGGTGCACTTCCGGTCTGAGTTCGTTGCCTTCAGACTGGTCTGGTATGCTGCGTGTGCTGTATAGGGAGGTGGGACGGGCAGGGAATGTTGGGGGAACTGGGGAGGTGGGATGGGAGCTGGCTGCGAAGCTCCCCAAGGCTGGTGCATTGGTTATATGTCTGGGAAGGAAGGGAGGGTGATGTTTGTGAAGTGATACGTGTTTGCCTTGGTTTCTACTCCATTCTCATCCTCTTCATTGAAATATTTCCTTTTCTCCTTCTTCCCATCATCGCATCACTATCACCATCACATAACCATCACCATCACTTTCACCATCACCCTCACCACCACCACTACCAGGCAGGTGAGAACCGAACCGACATCCCAGTCGAGGAGAGGCTGAAGATTCTCAAGGAGCGGACCGAGTGGTGCACCAGGGAAGCAGTGCAAAAGATCAACAAAGTAAAGAAGCGGCTCAACGCAACCACCGTGTTTCTCGCAGCGGATATTCCGTATAACCAGTCTGGCGTTAAGCCTCGGTCGGAGTCATGGAATACTCTCAAGTGGGCGTTTGGGGATAACAATGTCTCGGACGTGCCTCATTATTGGCTGTCCTGGTTGCGGTCTAAGGTCCGCGGGACTGTGATGATTGACGAGCTTATGCCATCGGCTAATAGCCTCGACCCAGGTGCGCCACCCTCCTTTTTACAACTTGTTTCAACGTCGTTGATTGCCTATAATTGCAGTTGTGATTACACCTTTTTGTATATCTCCAATATTGTGGCAGGTGTTGTAGCCATTCTTGACAAGCTAATTTGCGCGCGGTCAAATGTCTTCCTCGCCGGCTCCATTTCTTGTGGAGGTGGTCGGGGCTTTGAGAAAGATATATTACTTCATCGCGACAACCTATCAAATAGAAAGCTAGATTTTGTTAGATGGGCGGCTGGGGAGAAACCATTTTAGAGTACTACATGGTGTGTCCAACCATAACCCTTGGCAACAACCATATGGAGGTAATCTCAATGTTTGTATATGGCATATTCCCGATTCAATACTGGCTACAACTTCGAGAAGTTTGTCTCGAAGCAGTGTTACGCTTCAAACGCGTCATATATGTCAGCATTTTGCATCGTTATCCCTTGATGCCACGTGTCTCACGAGTCCAGCAGCCAATGAGACGCACAACGACGTGTAAGTCTTGTGACGTGTGGATCTCGGGGGAATCCATCATCACTTCCATTCGAATTTCACCGACGCATGGTGTCTCCTCGCCCAACTTGAATGGTTAGCACTTATTGGGGCGTATGCATACGGAGAGCTAAAAACCACAAATTGCAGACTGGGTCTATTGATACCGTTGCGGGAGCACTATGACATCATGATTGCATTTTCAGACCAGTTCGTGGGGCCCGATTTCCATCTCAGCCGAAAGGTACGAAAAGATTGCATTTTCGATTTCAGCAAAGGAGCGCGTGTTTCACACAGTACTCGCAAAAGTGCAGCTCCATCACACACATTGCTTCTTGGAGCGAGCCGACCAGGCAGAGTGCTTACATTCCAGAATACCACCTCGTAATGCCTCTCCTTTCTTCCTACACAATTTTTCACACTAACAAAAACAGCCAGTCTACCACTTGGATTCCAGCTTCAGAGCCTATTTCAGGAGGCTTGAATTTGCTCAACAGCGCCTGCCGGTCCTACTAAGTTGCTGCGCCGAACCACCCATTTCGAGATTCCATTACACTCTGACAAATGGCTGCTTCCACCCTCTCCGCTTCCGTTGCTCAGGCCGCCGCTGCACTCCAATGTAAGCCAATGTCACTTCAAGATACCCTTAGCGAATGGCAGCCAGGAAGTCTGATCGCCCCGTTACCTGTAACCTGCTCATTCACCATGACTCGCCTATCAATCTCACGGTGCTCACGTTGGTTTCCCGATGCTCGCCTAGAACGGCTGGTATCCGGTAGTGGACGAAGCACGATGTGCAGCCGTTCGAGGAAACTTCCTACCGAATTCGAACATGTTCCACCCTGACCAGGAATATGGCTTCGTCATCCTTACCTAGCCTGTTTCTTTCTTTTTCCATTTCTCCCTAATTTTTTTTTTCCAGTGCTTTTTCGTTCCTGAAGCAAATAATGTCACCCTCTTTCTCCACGGCCCGCTTGCAGGCAGCGGCAGCAGCACCGCGACCATTCGCGCGGATCGGGTCTCATCAGCAGCCGCTCTTTTCCCTTCCAGATTCACTGGCCTGTCTGGTACGCACAGTCTCCTGTCCCCCTGGCTTCCCCTATCCCCCCCCGGGGTTGCCAATGGCTCTTGAGTTTATTGAATCTAGCATCTCCTCAGCAACGGCTCTCTCCCCCTCCAGATTCACTGGCCTGTCTGGTGTGCACGGGCCTTCCGCCTGGCGTTCCGATGGATCAGTGAAATCCATCGGATCATGGAGTGGCGCATAGGACGACTTTTCAGTCGACTTAATGGTCACCTCCTAGGGGGCACAGTTCGGTCGTTGGCATCCATCTGATTGGCACACGGCCACAGTGCCATGTGGCCATCTGTTGCCTAGCCAGAGGAGCCCAGTGGCCATGTGCTATCGCGGGCTGAGCTGCTAGGTACTTCTGTTCCTTTGGTGCCTGTTTGAACCTGACTCAAAAGCTTCACACGAGTCACTTTTACCCTGGACCCTGATTCCCTATCCCTCCTCCCCAACCCATCCTACTTCCCTTCTCCCCCCTCCTTTCTCCCTCTTCCGCCCCCCCCCCCACCCCCTCCGCCCCCTCCTCCCTCTGTCCCGACCGCAGCCAGCAGCCCCGCGTCTCGCAGCGCTCGCACGCCAGGGCGCGGGGTCGCGAGGAGAGCCAATGGGGTGGCGCCACGTGCGTCCGCGGAGGACGAGGAGCCGGTGACCATTGACAACTCGACTGGTGAGGTTCGGGTTTAGTTTTGAGGCGCCTCAAACTAGACTCCTATCACGCGGTTTTGAGGCGCCTCAAAACTCGACTGGTGAGGTTTGGGTTTGGGTAGGTGTCGTGGGAGAGGAAAGGGGGCGGGCAAGTGGGGGAGCGGTAGACGTGTGGATGAAGAATAGAGGCGAACGGACAGAACACGAGGAGCGCTACGTGCGTCCGCGGAGGCATGGACAACTCCACTGGTGAGTCCGCAGAGGAGCCCTTCGCCATGGACAACTCGACTGGTGAGTCCGCAGAGGAGCCCTTCGCCATGGACAACTCGACGGTGAGGTTAGGGTCGGGGTGAGAAAATGGGGGATACGGAAATGCGGTTTTGAGGCGCCTCAAAAATAGAGAGGGAAATACATGGATGGAAGGATAGAGATGAGAGGACGGAGCACGAGGAGCCGGTGGCTATTGACAAGTTGACCAGTGGAGTTTGGGTAGGGGTGAGGAAATGGGGGAAGTGGAAATGTATTGATGGGACGATAGAGATGAGAGGACGGAGCACGAGGAGCCGGTGGCTATTGACAAGTCGACCAGTGGGGTTTGGGTAGGGGTGAGGAAATGGGGGAAGTGGAAATGTATGGATGGAAGGATAGAGATGAGAGGACGGAGCACGAGGAGCCGGCGGCTATTGACAAGTCGACTAATGGGGTTTGGATAGGGGTGAGGAAATGGGGGAAGTGGAAATGTATTGACGGAAGGAAGAGGTGACAGGATGGGGCACGAGGATCGGTGACCAGTGACCAGTGGCCATTGACCAGTGACCAGTGACCAGTGGCCATTGACAAGTCGGCTGGTGAGCCTCGTGAACGGGCCAGGAGGCCATTGTATTTGGTGAGTTTCAACGGGGTTTGGGGATCAAGGAATACTCGGGAATTCGTCTCGGGTTATACGTGGGTCCAGTAGGGGGTCAGGATTCGTGTTGAACAGGTAACCCACTATTGCGAAAGGGAGGCATCTCAGGAAGACGATACTTGAGATGCCTCGAATGTACCGCAACTACCAATAGGTTGGAGAGAAAGGAGAAAAAAAGGGGGGGGGGGGGAAGTCGGGGAGGAAGGGATTGGCTAGCTGGTGGGGAGAGGACGTTTGGGAATGGGGGGAGGAGAAGAGGGAGTGGGCAGGATGGACCGAAGGTGCAAGAGTCAGCAGAAGCGAATGCAGAAAGGGAGGCAAGCATGCGGGGGAAGGGGGTAATAACGCACCGCGCATCCCAAATCCTGCACGGGGTGAAGGTAGTCCGTCCATCTTGGTGAAGCTCGTTTATGTACGTTTCAAGGATTAGATTAAGGTATTCCTTCTTGGTGTAGCAGTGTGGATGCCGAATCCTGCACGCGCCAGCTGGCGAGGGCAGGCTTGTGGGTTCAGGCAGTGCGGCAGAGGGGAGGAGGGGTTGGTGAAGACAGTGGCAGTGACGCTTTGACAGTGTAGAGAGTGCCGCACAGTGCTGATGGTGGGAGGGGGCGGAGGGGGCATGGAGTTGGTGCTGCAGCTGGTAAAGGACGGCTCGTGGGTGACGAGACGGCCCTGCGGAGGGGGGAGAGGATCTAGCTGTTATCACCTCACGTCCTACATACTCTCTCGCCCTCTCGTGCTCCCTACAGTGCTCGTGGTGGGAGGAGGAGAGGAGGAGGGCCATGGAGGTCGTTCGTCAGCTGGCCGGGGGGGGGCTCGTGGGTCACTGCGCTGCAGAGGGGGGCTGCAGAGAGGGGATGCAGAGGGGCACTGCAGAGGGGGGCTGCAGAGAGGGGATGCAGAGGGGCACTGCAGAGGGGGGCTGCCAAGGGGCGCTGCAGAGGGGGGCTGCATGGGGGGGAGAAGCTTTTCTGTCCTCCCAATCCCCGGTTTCCCTCCTCTCATTCCTCACCGCCTGCGTTGGCCCCCCCTTGTGACTCAGCAGTTCTTTTTTTGAGGCGCCTCAAAAAAAACTTCTCATTCCTCACCGCCTGCGTTGGCTCCCCCTTGTGACTCAGCACTTCTCGTGGTCGGAGGTGGCAGAGTAGGCATTGAAGTCGTTCGTCAGCTGGCAAGGCGGGCTCGTGCGTGGGTGACGGACGGCCCTGCAGAGCAGAGGGGGGCGAATCTCTCCGGCCCCCGCTATTGCCACCATACTCTCATTTCGAATCCTGTTCCCCCCTCCCTTTTGCTCCTTCAGTCCTGGTGATGGGCGGAGGAGCAGTGGGCATGGAGGTCGTTCGCCAGCTGGCAAAGGCGGGCTCGTGGGTCACTGCCCTGCAGAGGGGGGAGAAGCCCCGCTTTCCCCTCCATCCCTTCTATGTCAACACTCACCACATTCATACACACCTCGCTCACCCCTTGCTGACCCCAACAGTGCTCGTGGTGGGCGGTGGCGGAGTGGGCATGGAGGTCGTTCGCCAGCTGGCAAAGGCGGGCTCGTGGGTCACTGCCCTGCAGAGGGGGGAGAAGTTTCGGAAGGAGATCGAGGGGCTGGGCGCGATGCTGGCGGTGGGGGATGTGATGGCGCCGGGCACCATTGAGAAGGCGCTGAGGGGGAACACGTTCGACGCCGTTGTCTCCACTGTTGGTGAGTGACTGGTATGGGCATGGGTGCACGTGTTCGTGTATGTGTGTGTATGTGTGTGTGAATGTGTGTGTATGTGTGTGTATGTTTGTGTGTGTGTCTGTGTATGTGTATGTGTGTGTGTATGTGTGTGTGTGTGTGTATGTGTATGTGTGTGTGTATGTGTATGTGTATGTGCGTGTGTGTACGTGTATGTGTACTTATGAGTGTGCCATGCAATGCCCTGGGGAAGATCGAGGGGCTGTTTTTGAGGCGCCTCAAAAAGAGGGGCTGGGAGCGTTCTATGGGGGATGCGATGGCACCAGGCACCGTTGAGAAGGCTGTGAGGGGGGACACGTTTGATGCTGTTGTGTCCACTGTTGGTGAGTGAATGGTATGGGCATGGATGCACGTGTTCGTGTATGTGTGTGTGAATGTGTGTGTATGTGTGTGTATGTGTGTGTGTGTATGTGTATGTGTATGTGTGTGTGTATGTGTGTATGTGTGTGTGTGTGTATGTGTATGTGTGTATGTGTATGTGTGTATATGTGTGTGTGTGTATGTGTGTATGTGTGTATGTGTGTATGTGTATGTGTGTGTGTGTATGTGTATGTGTGTGTACGTGTATGTGTGCTTATGAGTGTGCCATGCAATGCCCTGGGGGAGATCGAGGGGCTGGGAGCGTTCTATGGGGGATGCGATGGCACCAGGCACCGTTGAGAAGGCTGTGAGGGGGGACACGTTTGATGCTGTTGTGTCCACTGTTGGTGAGTGAATGGTATGGGCATGGATGCACGTGTTCGTGTATGTGTGTGTGAATGTGTGTGTATGTGTGTGTATGTGTGTGTGTGTATGTGTATGTGTATGTGTGTGTGTGTGTGTATGTGTGTATGTGTGTGTGTGTGTATGTGTATGTGTGTATGTGTATGTGTGTATATGTGTGTGTGTGTATGTGTGTATGTGTGTATGTGTGTATGTGTATGTGTGTGTGTGTATGTGTATGTGTGTGTACGTGTATGTGTGCTTATGAGTGTGCCATGCAATGCCCTGGGGGAGATCGAGGGGCTGGGAGCGTTCTATGGGGGATGCGATGGCACCAGGCACCGTTGAGAAGGCTGTGAGGGGGGACACGTTTGATGCTGTTGTGTCCACTGTTGGTGAGTGAATGGTATGGGCATGGGTGCACGTGTTCGTGTGTATGTGTGTGTGTGTGTGTATGTGTGTGTGTGTGTGATGACACGCCAACATCTCAGTCGACGTGGGTCGTGAGTGTGTGTGGGTGAGCCTGCCCTGCAATGCTTTGGGGGGGGATCGGGGGGCTGCCCTGCAATGACTTCTGAGTCGAATCAAAAGATGGATGGGCTGGAAGCCATGCTGACAATAGGATGTGATGGTGGCAACCAGGCACCATTGAGAAGGCATCGAGGGGCAATGCAGGTGAGTGGGGGGGAACAGTTGTATGTGGATCTATGCTCCCTTGTTCCTCCCATTACGTGAACACCCCCTCACAGACACCATTCGCCTGCAGCTATGAACAGTGTTGCATCTGTTTCTTACTCGTCTTGGCTATGTTTGCCCCTTCTCCTCCCCCTGTCCTCATGTGTGCGATGTGCGCCGCATGGAATGTGTGTGCGATGTGTGCATGCATGCTTCTCTGTGTGCTCGTAACTGCCTGGGTTTGTCTGTGTGGTTGTAAACGTCTGTATCTGCGTGTTTTTGATCTGATTCTCCCAGGGGGCGGCCTTACAGACATCAAGGTGGACTCGGTAAGTGAAACGTGGATTGTCTTAGTGGGTACAACCAGCTCTACATGTAACACTAGTACTTTATCTAGATCCAGCTCTTTATGTCCAGTTGCACGGTCTCTCGGTAAGTCCTTCCTTCAAGTGCGTCATTCACCCAGGGTGTGGCCTTACAGTAAGCTTTGATACTGGTGTGGTACATCAAGGTGGACACACACTCGGCAAGTCTATTTTTGAGGTGCCTCAAAAATAGACTCACCCAGGGGGCGGCATTACAGTAAGGTTTGATGCTGGTGTGATACATCAAGGTGGACACACACTCGGCTCGGCAAGTGAGAGGCGTGCATGCTTTCAGCATGCTTTCGGCAGGTGATTTTTGAGTCGACTCAAAAATCACCTTTCAGCACACATCACGCTGCTGCAACGTGGCTGTGGAATTGTCTTTTGCAACATTGCAAATGCTCCCGAGCTTCTCAACAGCAGCACCTGTCTCTGGCCCTGTCTGCTCGCCTACCCACTTCACACCTAAGTTGGTACTTTACGTCACTTTAGGTGACGTAAACGTACAGTACGCGTAACGTTACGTTTACGTTACGTTACGCGTACGTTACGTTTACGTCGCCGGGCAGGCCCTGAAATTTTTTCCGGGCAATTTTTTTCCCTCCGAAAACCGCGTTCTACATCCACGCGATCTGCAACTACGCCTAGATTATCGCTGCCCACGGTTCGCGCAGATCTACCCCGTCATGAACTATGGCGCACGTAGACGCTGGTCGAAGGCGCGCTAATAGTCCTAGGATGCGACTTAGACTTAACTGAGTTGCTACTGGAGATAGGGTAGCGACTGACATTCGTCGAGGAGGGAAGGGGAATTGAATGTCGAGGAGGGTTGGGGAACCAGCACGTCACATTTGACGCGCCCAAATTCGTCGACTGGTTGGATTGCCGGCACGTCAAGCAGCGGAGACGCGATTTCGTGCACGCGATAATTTCGCCAACCAGTCAACAGATTGTCAATTTGCATGTTATAAGCGTAGCACCTGTTGGGAACTTTGTATTTTGTGGATGTTTTCTATCTACCTACTAAAATATTTAATGGCCAATGGAAGTCTGTACAAAAATCTGCCTAGGGTTCCCTCTTCTTCTTTTTTCTGGGCAGGTAGAAATTTTTTAGCTTGCCCGTACATACAGGCCTAAAACTAGAATCGCGTAAACGTACGTAAACGTAAACGTACACGTACGTAAACGTAACGTAAGGAACCAACTTAGCTTCACACATCCCTCCTATCCTATCCCTCCCGATTCCCGGTTTCCTTTGCATCACCAGGACCAGGATGGCAACATCAACGTCACTGCATCAGCAGACACAGCAGCAGAACCGAAATGGTTGCTCTCCCTTTTCTCCCTCCCCTCCCTCCCGTTCCCTTCTCCCCCCCTCCACCAGGATGGCAACATCAACGTCATCGCAGCAGCAGAGAAGGCCGGTGTCCCTCGCTTCCTCCTCGTAAGTCGTCGCATTGGAAGGAGTTGGGGTTGAGGGGGAGGGTGGGCGGGTGGGGGGGGGTGCGTATCTGTGTCAGCAGGATCTGAGACGGCTGGTGTTCCTCGCTTCGTTCTTTTAGGCGTCTAAAAAAATCCGTGCGTGAGGAGTCTTTTTTTGAGGGGCCTCAAGAATAGACTCCTCACGGGGGGTGTCTGTGTCTGTGTCAGCAGCTTCTGAGAAGGCTGGTGTTTCTCTCCTCCTCGGGTGAGCTGTTACTTCTTCATTGTCTTGAAAATCAGAAAACTCTGCTTGACTAAGAGTACATACGCGGCGCGGTCACTCTTCTTTCGAGAGCAGAGGAGCAGGGGAGCAGCAAAGCGGCCGTGCCTGCCAGGGAAGGAGATGTACGTGCTGGGGCCGGTGCTGGCAGAGAAGGAGACGAGCGAGGAGCGGCTCAAGGCGAGCGATAATAAGATACTCTCTGTTACAATGCTCCTGTGTGCTGCGTGTCCTTGTGATCACTTGCTCACAGGTCGCCAGCATAGAGGCAGGAGATATTAAGGCGGCAGTACCCGGCAAGGAGATGGACGTGCTAGGACCGGTGCTGGCAGAGAAGGCTGTACCAAACGTCTCCTCCTTCTCTCCTGCACCCGTCTTGCCTGTTCCATTCTCTCAGGTGTCCAGCATAGGGGCGGGCGACAGCAAGGCGGCAGTGCCTGGGAAGGAGATGGACGTGCTGGGGCCGGTGCTGGCAGAGAAGGAGAAGAGCGAGGAGCGGCTCAAGGCGAGCGATAAGCTCAAGTGGACCATCGTGCGCCCAGGGGGCCTGCTGTCAGATGTAAGAGCGGGCTTTGTTCAAGGTTAGGGGAGGTTTTGGGTTTGCAAGAGACTAGCGCGAGCGGCCCAAGGGGGGTGAGATGCTAAAGTGGACCATCGTTCGCCCAGGAGGCCTGTTGTCCGATGTAAGGACAGAGGGTTCAGGGTTTAGGGGATCGCGATAAGTTCAAGTAGAGCACCATGCGCCGGGGGGTTCTGCTGTCTTCTGTAAGGGGAGAGGTTTCAGGGCTAAAGGACGGGGGTTAAGGGCTGAGATAAGGTCAGTGATAAGCTCAGGTGGACCATTGTTCGTGTGTCTGGGGGTGGGTATTGCACCACTTCAGGACACCAGAGGCCTCGGCACTCTCCGTGGGTTCGAGTCACCTCAATATGCACCCCTCTTCTTACCCCTCTTCTTACCCCTCTTCTTACCCCTCTTCTTACCCCTCTTCTTACCCCTCCCCCATCCCTTCCCCATCCGTCTCCTTTTCCAGGCCATCACGGGCTCGGGCATCCTCACATGCATCATGCTTCGAGGCACCTGGAATTTGAAGGCTCACCCCTCACCCCACACCACCTTTCTCAACCCCTTCCAGGCCGCCAGTGGCTCGGGCATCCTCACAGAGGACAGCAGTGTGGTGGGGGTCATCTCCCGTGCTGACGTGGCACAATTGGTGAGTCACCTCCCCTGCTGACGTGGCGCAACCTGTGAGTAGCATCTGGATGCCAAGTCATGGCACTCTTTCTGAGGATTTATGTCTGGCCCTTTTGTTCATACTCCTGCCTATCACCGTTTTAAGTAATACGGAGTTTATTCTCCACTTCGAGCCCCTTGAACTCTTCCATTTCCTTCTTCCTTCCCAACACCTCTCCTTATGCCCAAATTCTAGATTCTGCGCATTCTCTTCGAGGAAAAGGCCGAGGGGAAGGTTTTCTCTGCCATTGACTCTCAAAAGGTGGGCGTGGCACACATTTCCCATATTTTTATCCTATTCCCTCCCCTCTCCCCCCGCTTCGTTTCTCACACATGCCACACACATACACCCCCTCACTTGTCTGATTATGTGCCCTCATCTCCCCCAATCTTGGTGTACGGTGTATTTTGTGTGCAGAAATTCCCTGGAGCACCGGAGAAGGAAATCGTTGAGTTCAAAGCGTAAATCTATTGTGCACATTTAAGAGATTACAAAAAGGCACTGAACCGTGTATTCAGGCATATTGGAGTAACCGAGCACCCTTTAACAACGCAGCATGTGAATGGATGCGTAGTGAAATAACTTTGCATGTGTAATGGTTATGCAAGTTAGGTAGTCAATATATTCCAGTCTTCATTGTGCGTTCGTGTCATGGAGTTTTAAGTGTAGCTCAATTATGCACGCCTTAATCATACCGCCGTAGTTTTCAATGCGTATAGACCAGCCAAGGCTGAGGTGATCCATCAGCAAAAGCTCATTGAGGGCGGATTCTGGAGCGAATGTTAGACCTCGGGTGATGCTCTAAAGTCCAAGGCTGGAAACAAAATTGCCTCGGGTCTTGCGAAAACTGACGACTAGCTAGCCAGTCAGCTGTCAAACCGAACAGCTACTAATGTCGTGCAAATGAACTTCCGCCAGTCATAAACTCGCACATTTCTGGTGGACTCGCAAAGCTCGGACAGTATAGTCGCAACCCTCCCTTTGCGACTGTTCGCGACTGTGCAGCCGCTGCACCGTCAAGAATAGACAACCGACAGTTAGGTTGGGAAAACCCGCGGCTCCTCCGGTGCGGGTCGACCTCGGGTCTGACACTCTCACCAGAATACTTCCTGAGGCTCGCAAAAACTCGATTCTGTCACTAGCGGCTCGATTGTGCTTCCACCAAACAGTGTGATTGAGAACGAACGACTGTAGGTGTGATTGAAAAGAGATGTGGTACTTCAAAGTTCGTCCACGTCATACATGTTCAGATCGCCGAATCACATGTTTCAGCTGGCATCAATCGTTCATGGGACCGCTCAACATGAGTATCACCCGGTCGCGACCTGGTTAGAAATTGATCATCCAATCACGCGCGGCTTCGCCTAGTGGTCCGGCCGGACTCGGCGCGGTGTGCTGGATGGCTCGGTTGGCGAGGCTGGTTCCCCAAGCTGTCGAAGCGGCATTCGACGCCCTTCGGTACGGGAGAGGGGCGAAATTGACAGACCGAAATGGTTGGTTTGGCGAGGACGACGGTTTGTGAGCAGAGGGCGAAGATTGGTCAGGCAAATCGAGGCAGGTGCGGCTTGGTGATCGATAGGGTATGGGGTTCCCCTAGGATGAAGGGATGGGGGATGTGTCCAATTATTTTCGGTTCAAAAAGGTACTTTGCGTTCATGAGCGTTTTGTTTGATACCTAAGACGGCTGGGTAGGGTTTAGATTAGAGGTAAGATGAACTGGATAGGGTGCAATGCTGTGTTCAGCAATCAAGCGTTGGCATGGCTGTGGGAGAAATGAATGCTCTTGCTTCAACCACTTTCCTTCCACTGTTTGCATCGCATCGCATGTCATCATGTCATGTGGCTGTCTCTCCCGTACATACAACACCTGCTCGCTTGTTCGCTCAGAAAGCTTGTTTGCATTGCCCTAGGTTCCCCCCTGTCGCGCGCTCGTTCCTGCCTCGCTTTATGCTCGTGGCGTCCTTACCGCTCTGCTGACGTGTCGTTCCGCGACTCGGCATTCAGCCTCCTACCAGCCGCCAGTCTATTCGATACGAGATGTTAGAGTCAACTCGATCTAGGGTTAGCCCGTGATTCTCCGCCCTCCATCCGTTTATTCCAAGGGCTGGAACTGGCCTGGTCCAATGACATAGGCGCTGCGAGGCGCCTGTTACCAGATGCCCCAAGCATGGCAGCGAGGGGCTTTAATTGAACCCCCAGCAGCACACGAAGAGCATATGCTGCGATGTATTCCCCAGGCCTCTCCGTTGGAGGTGCCCGATGCATGAGTGTAGAAAATACAGCGTTTCGCCTCTGTAAGCCTTTAAGCCTTACATTCACACCCTGAGGCTGCCTTTTGAGACATGATGCAACGGAATCGTTTCTTGCCGTTCCGCGCGCATGAATCTCTCTCTCGCGAATAGTTGTACTTCCGTATTTTTCAGCCTGGCCCGCCCGAGCTTTTCCGCCTCCGTTTCCGAATTGTTCGCCTTGTGGCCTGAAACCATGGCGCCATTGCTCTGACGCCGAGCGGCGCAGGAGTGTTAAGGAGGGCAGCAGAATCGGGGGGAAGACACTAGAGGAGAAAAGGAGATAAGATTCGTCGGCTAGGCGCTGAAGTATATGGTTCCCTCAACACTAAGACGGTTCCCTCGTAGTATTTCCATCGAAGCAGAGTAGAACCACTCCAGCCAGCTGCCAGCTCAGCAGGGCTACAACCGTTTCAGCCAGACCGATTATCGCGTTGTGCCCTCCACGTGGCAATGAAGGAACACGCCACGTCACTGCACCCAGGAGCGCTCCTCCTGCCGCTAAGGCGCGTCGCGTCTCTCCTCCTCCTGCTGCATCTCCACCTCGCCTCCTCCACCTTCCTCGGCCTCGCTCGCGCGAACGAGTCGCACGAGACCTTAGAATCGGTCGATGCGCATAGCCTTTCCGCGGGCTCTACCCCTTCCGCCGGCTCTAGCCCCCTCGATCATGCCTCCCCCGAGGGTACTGGCCCTTCCGCGGAAATCGGTCTGTTCGCGAAAAACGGCTCGTTGTTCGCGGGGAATGGTTCGGCCGCGCTCCCCGTGGTGGTGTGGCACGGCTTCTTCGACTCGTGTCGGAATGATAAGAGCGTGGGGTATCTGCGCGCCGCCGTGCGCAGCGTGCTGCCGGACGTGTTCTTCCACTCGATATGCGTCAAGGACGAGGGCGTCCGCGATATAAGCTCGTCCATCTTCGGGTCCATTGATCAGCAGGTAATGATTTAAATCATTCTAGACGTAGTGAATGCTCGTATTTCAAGGCGCGAAATCAAGCTCAAGGCGTACTAGCCTAGCAAGTGCTTGTACACAACACACCAGCCAGAAGCGCACATGCCCCCATCGCCCTTACCCGTCTCCGTCCCCTCCTCCCCCCATCCTCCCCCCAACCTCCCCCCATCCTCCCCCACCCACAACCACTTCCCACCCTCCCCCGCGTCCCCCGCGTCCCCCGCCCCCCTTTCCCCACTTGCTCATCGATCCACCCTTCCCCTGCCCCCGCCCTCCCCTTTTGCCGTCTCTCTCTACTCCCACCGCCTACTTCTGAGTCGCCGCATCCACGCTTCCCCCCCTCTCTCCAATGTACCGTCTCTCTCTAATCCCACCGTCTCCATCCTCTCCAGATCGACGAGGTATGCGCCTCCCTCGCGGCCATCCCGCAACTCGCGCGCGGCTTTAACGCCTTTGGCATCAGCCAGGGCGGGCTGCTCTTCCCCCTCCCCCTCCCCCGTCCCCCCTGTCCCAGCCAATTCATTCCCGTCTCCCCCGTCCCCCTGCTCTTGTTCAGATCGACGAGGTCTGCGCCTCCCTGGCGGCCATCCCGCAACTCGCGGGCGGCTTTAACGCCATCGGGATCAGCCAGGGCGGGCTGCTCTTCCGCGCCTACGTGCAGCGCTGCAACTCCCCGCCCGTGCGCACGTTGATAACGCTCGGCTCCCCGCACGCAGGGATGGCCGCCTTGCCTTACTGCGGCCCGAGCAGGGAGACCGAAGGGGAGATAGAAAGGGAGAATCATTTCCGGGGGTGCATGGGAGGTGCGGATGACGTGGGGTCGTACGCCACGTGTAACGCCAGCGTGGCAGCGGACTGGGAGGGGGAAAGCACGTGGCAGGAGGAGGAGGCGGAAGAGTCAGGGGGACTTAGTAGTCTAGGAGGCGTTGGCGTTTCAACGCTTAGAGTGCTAACTGCCAGCAGCAACGGCCTTAGCGGCTTTAGCGGCGGATTTAGCGGCGGTTTGAGCGGTCTTAGCAGCGGTGGCTTCAGCAGTAGCTTGATTAGCTTCAGCGGCGGAAGCTTCGCAGGAAGCAGCGAGATGGCAGGGAGCATAACGTGGGCGTTACTTAGCGGCGTAGGGACGGCTGTAGACTTCTGTACGCTGCTGAAACCGCACATGCACCGAGTTTACCTGCCCTGGGTTCAAAAGTTTTTCATGCCCGCACAGTACTTCCGGCTTTGGCGGCACATGGATCGGTACTTGCAGCGGAGCGCGTTTCTAGCGGATATTAATAACGAGCGGGGCCCGACCAGACGGAATGAGACGTACGCTGCGAACGTACGGAGCTTGGAGCGGCTCGTACTGGTGCGGTGGCAAGATGAAACGATGATCTCGCCGCCCCAATCGTCGGTGCGTTACTGTGAATTAAAAAAAAAAAACAATACAATGTGCGCTGATTGCGCGGTTCCTGTAACGCGGGAACACCCGCAGTTCCCCCGTTATGCTCCCTCCCACCCCGCGCTCCTTCCCACTCCTTCCCTCATCGCCACGACACGCTTCTAAACATTCCTCCGCCATCCTTGCAACCCCCCCGATTCTTTCCCCCTTCCCCCTTCCACCCCGTTTCCCACTCCCGCCGCTCCCCATCCTTCCCTGTGCTCCCCCTTTGCTGGCTCATTACCACCCCCGCCACCCCATCCCCCACCCCTCCCGTCTCCCCCAACTCCCCTTCCCCCGACGCTGCGCGTCTTCCCCTTTGCTCCTCCAGTGGTTCTGGTCACACGACCGCTCCGGCAATCTGCTCCCGTTACAGGAACAGCCGATGTTCGCCGAAGATTGGCTCGGATTACGAACCCTGCACGAGAAGAAAAAGCTACACTTCACCACCATGCCTGGCTCCCATGTAACAGTCTCATTCCCGTTCCAAAATCCGTCATATGATCTTATTCATCACTCCCGAAAATGATGTTTTAAGCTGCCGTGTCATTTGGTCCGGTGGTCCGCCGTCTACCCATCTTCTACTTCTTGGTGCCCTTTTGCATTTGAACCAGCATGAAGGTCATTAATTCCCTGTCATCATCATCCCGTTCTCAGAAATTTCCGAGCTTTTATTTGCTTGCTCCCTAATTTCTCAGACATTTGATTTGTTGCCCACTTTTCTCTAATCAGCCCAATCACCCTGCTCTGATGATCTCATATTTGCTTCCATGTGCAGGGAATAATCAACCCATCGCTCTTTGCCCGTGAGTTTGTTTCCAAGTACCTTATACCTGAGCCCACCACAGCAGCTGCATGAAACAAACCTCTGTCAGGACCATGCGGAGCCAGTACCAAGGGCCAATTTATCAGCAGTATAAAGGCCAATCTACAGCCACCATCAGGGCACTGGATCCTCTCACCATCTCCATCCAGCTCCATCCATCTCCACCCTCTGGCTTCTGCCACCAGCTCCATCCATCTCCACCCTCTGGCTGCTGCCTCCTGGCTCCTGGCTCCTGGTCCTTGGAGTTCCCGCGGGCGACATTGCTCCTTCATTTTGCATCCCACGTATTCCAACGGCCTCCATCATCCATCCCTTCCTCCCGAGTCATTGTCAGTTCGGCATCCTGACACAGCCTCGCCTCTATCAATTCCGCAGGTAGTAATGCCAGTTGAGCGACAGGTTATTCAAGCGAAGCAGTGCAGCGGTTTCCTAGTGTGGTGTGTATTACTGCGGCACAGCACTGGCTAACATGACGCAGGTCGAGAGCTAATGCTACCATGGACTGTGGAACCGTAAGGTACTTCAGAAACCAATGGTAGCAGCTAGCACAGCCATCAAGGAGAGTCCTAGGGATAGATAAGTTAGTGCTAAGAGGAAATCATAGTGGGCATTAGACTAGGATTCATGAAATGTGTAGATGTAGGTAGCACTAGGACAAGGATGCCACCTCAGCATCTTCAAGTGCCCCTTAGCTGTTCTCTAGGCAATGCCACTCGTCTGATCAATATCTCGTCACCTGTAGTTTCCTTTTTAGATTGAGTGATTTGTCAAGCTTTCTTGCCCACGTAGACCAATTATAACGGGAAAGTTGTTGTCTAATTGTAATCGCAGTGGAGTGTTGCACTCACAACAAATCGCACAATACCGAAACGAGGCATGCTCTCGACGAATCACACAACCCAACAGGAGAGTGTAGGGTGGCACAGGTGGTGGCTCAAGGCACCCACCGTCCAAAAAGGTGGTCCTAGTGATAATCGAGGCGCGTTGGGGGCTGGGGTGTCACATGACGACACGACGCGCGCCCCAAAACGCGACTTGACGTTCTCGCACGTTTCGCACGCGTGCTTCCTTGCCCATCTGTACGACACCCAACCAGGCCCCTTGCGACACACCGACTTCAGGCTAGTCCCAGAATACCCAAACGACGCATTACGATTGGTTGTTCTTGTTCCAGCTGGAACTGTTCGCTGTACAGTCCCAGCTAGGCTCGTCGCCCAACGTGACTGTTTGCTTACGCGAAACGGTTCCAGCCGTCAGCTACTGTAGTCCTATCTTGCCGCCGCCTCAAAGCAACCGAACTTGACGGAGCGTCACATCCTCCTCCTCCCTCGGAAATGGATGATGCTCGAACGAGTCGCGCGAGGCGAATAGCTCGAGGGAGGAGGACTGTTCGGGGAATTGGAGGAAAGGGTGGTGGAGGAGAGGGGGGGACATTTTGGAGTGCGCGCGTATATCTCGAGGCGAATTGGCGGGTGAAAAAACATCAAGTCGATCGAGAGTGAGAAAACAAACCGCGAGCGACGCACATCGATCTTGGTGCATCGAGTTTAGTGCATGTAGAGGTTTGTGCATTGAGCTTAGCTGAGATAAAAAACCGTGGACGCGCTGCGTGCTTGAGATAGCATTTTCCAGTTGTTTGGGAAAAATTGCAGCCATTTTTCTTCTCTTCACAGGGAGCTTCTGAACCCCTAAGGTCTAGTTGTGGACCATCGACATCCAGAGCTTGATAGGCAGATGATTGCTGCTGGACGGTTGCTTTCCTGTCTTCGCTAAGTCTGCCCGAAGTCGTAAAGGTCAGCTAGCGATAGTGGCATTTGACTAACCAGGTGCAAGGCTATTCAAAAGCTCATCGATATTTCGTCGAGCAAGGCGTCTCTGCCTCATCCATTGTCACCAACCAGAGCAAGTCGGGCTTGCCTTTCGTTCGAAGTTCAAGTTCCAAAGTCCGCCATGGCTGCCGGTATGTACATGGATACGCGGCTGCAGCAGCAGTTCTGGGGCAACCCCTACTGGCAATCCGACCTCTACGAGCCGCCTCCGCCCACCCCCAACCCGCATCCCCCCATCGGCCGCCTTGCGCGGCCGGGGCTCCTCGTCATTCCGCCCATCGTTCCCGCTCCGCTCACCCCCACCCCGGTTGTGCTCATGCGCGAGATCGAGCGCTACAATAAGAAGCGGAACGCGGAGAGGGCGGAACGTCTAGCGGCGGCGCAACCCGCCGATCGCCCCGCGGGCCCCCCCGTGCGTCCGCGAAGGCGGAGGATCTGGGACGATATGTTCTTCGACGACCTTCCCCGACGCCCCCTCCGCGCCGCGCGTCTGCTCCCGCGCCCGTCGCACGCGTTACTCCGTCGCAGCCGCTTAACGAACTCACTGCTCCCGCTCCCAGTATCGCGGCTCCCGCGCCTGTCAGTCGCGTCGCTCCGTTGCAGCCGCTTAAAGAGCTCAACGGCGTGATTTCTGATTCGACTAAAAAAGCGCCACTGCCGCTGCCACTGGCAGCATCGAACGTGAACGTTTCCGTGGAAGGCTCGGCGAAAGTTTCGGCGAAAGCCTCCAAGCTGCTACCGGTGTCTGCGAAACAGCTCTCGTTCCGGACGTGGCTCGGCGACGACGAGAATGCGACGACGACGGCGACAGCTGTACGACCGAGCTGCGTCTGCGAAACAGCGTTGCAGCAGTCGTCTGATGCGAGTCGCTTGGCGGAGCTTCGCATCGACATACCTTCGCTTGGCGCCGCCGCTGCTATTGGTGCTGCTGTTCCAACCGGGTCATCTTGCGCCGAGTTAGGACACGCCACGGCGGGTCACGCGTCGCTCCAGGTCGGTTCAGTTGCCATCGCTATAGCCTGATCCGTTAACTCGCGCGTCGAACTCTAGTTTTGCCCCTAGCCTCGGTGTCGAACTTCCTTGTGACCGGGCTTCTGTGACTCGGCCTTTTTTCTGGTGTTCGCTTTGCACGCGCGAGGTGGTTCTTGATGCGCCTCTTGGCGAGGCTTATACTGCGGATAAGCCCCTTCCAGGGCGCCTCAAGCACCACCTCGTTTGCTCCTTATCTTTCTGACATGAATAGAACTAGAAACAGCCTTCCTCTAGCGATACGCAGGCACGCGAGCTCCAACATTAGCTTGAGCTTCCTCTTTGTCCCTTTACACTTCAAAGAGAGTTGAATCTGATGTATGTTCCTTATTAATACGAGTATTTCCTGCCCATTTCTGCCTTTTATCCGCAACTGCTGCTTGTACAGGAGCTTCTCGTATCGAGTCCTGGAACCACCACACTTTCACACGCTGCTGTTGGAAAAAAGTTCCACAGGGAATCATCAGCAAGCTCCGTGGATCTGCACGCCCTTGGCTCCCTCCTCTGCTCCTTCCTCTCTGCCCTGAAAGTAGCCGCATTTGACCAAAATGCGGTTACAGCAGGGCTGAAGGATATGCTGCTGGTTGAGGCTACTGGACGGGAAAATGGGAATGGGGGAGAAAAGGGGGGAGAAAGGGAGACGGAAGTAGGAGTCGGCAAAGTTCCGCCCTCCCTACACCTGCAACCCCATCATCCGCTTTCACCGCTTATCCCACTGCAATCCCCCTTATCATCCGCCTCGGTACAAGCACTTCCACCAATGCAGTTCCAAGCACCTTTTGCAACCTGCTCGTCAAGAAAGGTGGACCATCCTGGCCGTTACTGGAGCCCCTTATCCGTCCTCAACACACCATCTTATGCATCTGACGCATCGTCGGAAGGAAGCTCGCCATTCACAGAGAAGAGGTGAAGAGGGGTGAATGAAGGGGGAGGGGAGGGGGGAGGGGAGGGGGGAGGGGAGGGGGGAGGGGAGAGTGGGGGGGAAGCTTGCCATCTTGGGCGTCTGACTGTCATATCATTGGAAGAAGGCTCACCGTTTTCAAGCCATCTCGGTGTGGTGGAGACCTCCTGACAACCGCACATGGTAGAGTGACGACGAGCATACCTCATGCTTTTGGTATTTTCAAGGGATGTAGTATGCTCAATCAGGGCGTGGTACCTTAGATCTCTAACTCCCAGGGGTGTTCGAATGGAGGTGAGTGGTACGATGACTTAAAAAACGGGTTAGATATGATTCAGTTCGACAAACGCGAGGTTTTAGTGTGGTGGAGCTTCGTTCTACTTTGTTCGAGATCTAAGGTACCACACCTTTAGAGGTTCGTAGTGTTTGCGTTGGGTGATGTTTTACTGTGGCAGAATGGCTAGGTGACCACCATTGATAGTGCGAAATGTTTATGATTGCGTAGTTTACTTGCATAGTATTTTCTTACCTTATATTTCACACTTTACAGCAGTGCCAGAATACATCAACTAAAAGCATACCGCGGATAAGCTAATCTCACACAAACCACAGTTCTCTGTGGCATGGTCAATTTGCTCTGGCTGTACGCCACGTGCCTTGTCGGACTGCCACGTCACGCACCTTCCCCATGATCGCGCAATCCCAGCTCGCCGCAATCAGCGGCGGCAGCACCGTCTGGGCAAGCAGCCGGCGCGGCTCGACGCGGAACCCGCTCGTTCAGTCTCGCCGCCAAGGGACCCCATTGTTGCACCCGCGAATTTCACAGGCTAAGTCAGCAAGCACGGTCGCAGCGCAAGCGCAAGCACAAGCCCAAGCGCAATCGCGTGCAATCTCTTCTACTGCCGATGGAGTTCCCAAGGTCGCTTTTGAGGCACCTCAAACGCAAGCCCGAGCGCAATCGCGTGCAATTTCCGATGGAGGCTCTCATACTGCCGATGGAGTTCCCAAGGTCGAATCGTCCCAAGGTCTTATCCGCAATCATCAGCACCCCTTTCTTCTCAACGGCTCTGATGACGTCACCGCGCCAGAGCATCTAGTGGCGGATAACTCAATATCGCGACGTTCTTTTGTGGCGCTATCCGCCGTATTTCCCGCTCTCTTACTCGCACCGCCCTCCACGTCAGCATCCCCAGACTCCACGTCATCCTCCGCTGGCAGCGCCATTATCCCCTCGTGCCCCCAAGGATCCACGGTGGAGATTCAAATCGGCGATAACTGCGGGCTCGGAGTCGCGATTTACCCCGATTTTAGCTACAGCCCCGGCGGCGTGGGCGGGGGAGGCGGCTCGGGAACCGCGACTGATTTAGACGACGGTTCGGATCGCATTGAGATAGTATTCGACCCCGAGACGCTGTTCATCCCCCCCCTGCAGTACAACACGACGCGGTTCCTCGGGCTTCCGCTCCCCCCGCCGCTTAAGATTGAGATCGCCCCCGCGGCGCTGAGGGGCTACCTGGAGAGGTCGACTGGCAAGGTAAGAATTTGGAAATTCGGATTGGAGTTGGGGGAAGGGAGGGGAAGGGGGAAGGGAGGGGAGGGGGAGGGGAGGTGGTGGGGGAAGACTGTTCATTCCCCCCCTGCAGTACAGCACGGCGCGGTTCCTCGGGCTTCCGCTCCCCCCGCCGCTTAAGATCGAGATCGCCCCCGTGGCACTAAGGGGCTACCTGGAGAGGTCGACTGGCAAGGTAAGCTTGGGGGCGATGCTGATTGGGGGTGGGGGAAGGGGGAAGAAGGGGATGGGGGGATGGGGGGGGGGGGGGGCATGCTCATCCCCCTACTGCTTTTGAGTCGACTCAAAAGGGGAGGGGTGGTGGTGGGACCTGTTCATCTCCTTGTGCATTATAATAAGCAAACGCGGCTATGAGCCTTCCCTCCACCACCTGCGGTACTCAGGGGATACCTGGAAAGGTCGACTCGCAAGGTAAGCTAGGGGGATGAGGATCGGGGCAGGGGCCGAAGCGGTTGTTGGGGGGGGGGAGAGGAAGGGGGGGAGGAGAGGAAGGGGGGGAGGAGAAAAAGGGGGGGAGGAGAAAAAGGGGCGCCCTGGAATGTTTTTGTGGGGATACAGTTTTGGGGTTTGAGGCTGCTGTATCGTATTGGAGATGGAGCTTGTAATGAAGGGGGATGGTGGCTTGGGTACACCATTGAGCGTAGCTGTGGCATGAGGCGCAGGGGTGAGGGGATGCATGCAATGTGGATAGGGCTGACTTTTGAGTCGACTCAAGTCACCTTGAGTAAGCCCGTTGAGCGTCGCCGTGGCATGGGTGGCAGGGGTGAGAGGATGCAGGCAATGTGGATTGCCAGCACATTGCCCAGTGTGGATAGGGTTGCGAGTGGGGGAAGGGTGATCCCCAGCGCTTAGCTGGAGTATCATAGCAACATGGGTAAATTTAAAGAAAATGATATTGATAAGGATGCACCCTCCACATTCCTACCCACCTTCATTTCCCTCTGCTTTCACATCCATTGTCCCTCCCTCCCTCCTCCAGGTGGAGCTTACCTTCATCTCGAAATTCTTCTTTACAGCTGGACCCATCTACACTGCGCCACCACTTACTGTAGAAACAATCCTAACCACAGAAATCTCGGGGGGGCCCATGCGCTCAGCACAAGGCTCAAGACTTGATGCGTATGGGAAATGCACATTGGTGGGAGTGGCACGCGTGCCTCCTGTCAACGACGCCTTCCTCGATACCTTCCTACTGTTGCCTACGGATGTTGTTGCAATTCTGCCAGCAGAGCTCTGGTTCAAGCCTGCTAGAGCATGAGAAAGCTGTTGGCTTGCATATCAAGCATGCTGATTTATGTTTTTTAAAGCTTGCAATTGTTCTACATTTCGTTTTGGCTTCCTATTTTAGTTAGACTTGGGATGAAGTGTTCGTAATTCCATCTCGTGTTTCAAGATGTTGACACGTCATTGTAACGTCTCGATCTGAACACCAGGGGCCAGGTTTGACCCGAACAGTAACCGTTTTCCCTCGCCTTCATCCGAACCGACCTGAGCGACAGGCTTGGCCCGCAGCGGACAGCAAAACCTCGGAAGTTTCCCCTCGATATAAGAACCCTCGCCACTCGCCCATACCAGACCTCACTACAGTACCGCCTTCTACCTTCCCCTCTCCTCCTCCCCTCCTCCTGTACCGCGTTCTAACCTTGAAATTACCGTACGATACACACTGTACCGCAGCCATTGACGGATGTTGACAATATCAACAGGCTGTGTGTCTTGTCAGTCTAGGTATAGATCAGTATCGTAAGCGCAGCCACACCACACGGATACTGGCCTGCAGCTCAATAAGGCATGTTGGTCGCTGCTCCTCCTTGCGATTAGCGCTTTGAGAAGCATTACGGAACGCTGGCAGTGCGAGTCAGCACGCGCCGTGATGATTTCGCTAGCTGTCTTTTGCGACTCTCGCGTTGTAAAGAAACAAGCGACATGAACAATCTTGATTTTTCTTAGTTGCTGAAGTTGGGTTGCTGTAGCTGTCTCCCGTTGAAGGAGGTCACTTTCTGTGCGGTTTTCGGCTTACCGTTTCTTTGCGGATGATGTCGAGAGCAGTCTAGCTTTGAAAAGCCAAAAAAAAAAACACACACACTTTCGGTGCGGTTTCGGGCTTACCGTGTCTTTGCGGATGATACTGCTAGCAGTCTTCCAGCATGCATAAGGTACGCACTATCGCAGCCTTTTAGCCAGATGACTTTTGAGTCGACTCAAAAGTTGTCGTCGTGGATGATACTACCAGCAGTCTACCATCATGCATAAGGTACGCATCATCGCAGCCTCTTTGCCTTACAGCCTTTGAGCATTTTAGTCTTATAGCAGTTGAGCCTTATAGCGTTTTAGCCTTATAGCCTTTTAGCCGTGTTGCTTTTTATCCTCCTATGCGACCACACGGTGTCCTCCTTTTGCCAGGCCCGCCACTCTTTTTTCTCCTTCTCCGCTTGAATTTTGCAGCCGAGCCGTGCTCCCAGCCTTAAGCCTCATGGCCTTCTTGGCTGAATTTCTTTCATTTTGAATGCGATTGTAAGGTTGCTAATTTTTTAGTCGACTCAAAAGTCACCTCGATTGTAAGGTTGCTAATTTTTGAGTCGACTCAAAAGTCACCTCGATTGTAAGGTTGCTAATTTTTGAGTCGACTCAAAAGTCACCTCGATTGTAAGGCTGCTAATTTTTGAGTCGACTCAAAAGTCACCTCTATTGTAAGGTTGCTAATTTTCCCATATTCCGCTGCCTGGCTTTTCCCTGCTCGTCTGTTAGGCCACGCGACAACGATCTGCTCCCGTGAGTCCACTCAAAATCCGCTCATTGATTTAGACGCGCTATTCCCGTGCGGTTGCTAATCGTCTCGTATTTTTGCTTCCCCGCTATTCCCTGCTCGTCCGTCAGGACACACGGCAACGACCTGGTCCCGTGAGAGGCGGGCCAGGCAGCAATTCGTGGGACGAAGATGACGACATGCCACGTGCGCTCCCCTCTCTTCCACATCATCAGCCACGTCAGCTTCTCCGCCCCGAGCAGCAGCAGCAGCCGCAGCAGCAAAAACAGCCGCAGCAAGCGCGGCAGGCTCCCCCCCCACAGTCACGCAAACCCCAGCCCCCGTTAGAAGAACATCAACCGTCCCGCGGCAAGCAGAACTCTAGAGACGCGTACGAGCCGGATGAACAGTACGAACCTCGTTACTCGAACCAGCGTGATTCCCGGGATTCGCGGGAGGTTAGGGAGCAACCGTATGACCGGAACAACTGGCAAAGAAACGCGCCGGTGCCAGCTCAGCAGCGGCAGAGCGGCTCGGTTCCGTACAGGCGCCCGGTTGCACAGCCGGATTCTGAGACGGAAACTGAAACGGAGGCGGAAACGGAGGCTGAGACGGAAACGGAATTCGAGACGGAAGCTGAAACGGAGGCTGAAACGGAGGCTGAAACGGAGGCGGAGACAGAAGTGGAAGAGACGGAAACGGAGTTTGAGGAAGAGGAAGAGGGGGAGGAAACGGAGGAGGAGGAGGTGACTGAAGTGGAGGAAGAAGGGGAGGGAGAGGAGGAGGCGGAGGAGGAGGATAAGGATAACATTCTGGAACAAGTAGCCGAGCTGCTGAGTCAGGTGAGCAAGCGGGTCATTACTTTGGTTGGAGGCCGGTTGAGGAGGGTTGAGAGGGGTTGAGGAGGAAAAGGAGAAAATTCTGGAACAAGTAGCTGAGCTGCTGAGTCAGGTGAGCAGGGGAAGCAGGCAAGAGGATAGACTTGAAGATTTCTTCCCTCCCTCTTTGCCATCCTCCCTCGTTTCTCCGCACTCCCGCTCCTCCCCCCCCCGGTCCCCTCTCCCTTAGAAAGAGGCAGCGAGAGCACCTGGCCCGCCTGGCAAGGCCTCTTTCTAGGTCCATCACGGGCAAGGTGGGCTTTGAGTCGACTCATTATCTCTCCCCCCCTCCCTCCCCCCCCCCCCCCACCTCCGCCGCCTCCCCCACCGTTGAATGTGAGGCAGAGGTGGGGGAGAAAACCTTCCACGCCCGTTCACCCCTTCCTGCTGTTCTGGTCCCCCTAACCCCACAGATCGAGGCCATGATTGCAGCAGGGCCGCATGGCAAGCTGGATGAATACCTCCCGGTGGTGGACCTGCTGCTGAATGTGCGCAAGGTGCTGGCAGAGGTGGGGGAGAAGGACGCGGGGAGGAGGGCTGACATGCTGCTCAGGACCGCTATGGAGGATCTGGACTACGAGCTAAGAGACATACTTAAGAGGAGGAGGTGGGTAAAAGCTAGGAGGGGGGGGGGGGGGCGATGCTTTTTGTAACGAACCGTTTTCTTGCCTCACATGCTGGGATGAGAGGTTTTCTCTTGGGCTGGGATGAAGGATTTGTATTACGAGCTAAGAGAAACACTTAAAAGGAGGAAACGAGCCGCTCTTCCCCCTCTTCCCATCAAGCAAGCTTCTGCCCGCTTCAGCGCAGACGAGCTGAAAAGGCACTTCCACGCCAACTTTCCCTGCTCCCTCCCTTTCCTTCCCTCCCCGCCCCGCCCTTGTAAACCCCCAGCAAGCAAGCTTCTGCCGCTTTGGTGCTGCAGACGAGCTGAGAAGGCACTTCCTCGCCAACACTCCCTGCTCCCTCCCTTTCCTTCCCTCCCCGCCCCGCCCCTGTAAACCCCCAGCAAGCAAGCTTCTGCCGCTTTGGTGCTGCAGACGAGCTGAAAAGGCACTTCCTCGCCAACTTTCCCTGCTCCCTCTCTTCCCTCCCCCTTCTCCCCCCCGCCCTTTTCACCTCTAAATCCCCAGCAAGCAATCTTCTGCCCGCTTTTCAGCAGATGAGCTGAGGTGGCCATTCCAGGCGGAGTTGATGTGCTCCTTGCCCTTCGGTCTCCTCCTCGATTTCCTTCTCTATTGGCTTCCCCGCTTCCTCCATCAAGCAGTCCTCTGCGCTATTTAGTGCAGACGAGCCTGCTCTTGAGTCGACTCAATAGCCCCCTCCCCCCCCGCTCCCATCCCCTACTTCCCTGCCCCTGCCTTTCCCCCCAACTCCCCATCTCCCCCCACGCCCTTGAAACCCCAGCAAGCAAGCCTCGGCCAGGTTCTCAGCAGACGAGCTGAGGAGGCTCTTTCAGGCGGAGTTCCTCCATGGGGGGAGCGCGGAGCCTGCAGGGGAGGGGGGGACGGGAAGGGGAGGGGCAGGAGGGAAGGGGGGTTAGAGAGGGGAGAGGAGGAGAGGAGGGGGAGGATGGGGCCCTTTTGAGTCCAGGGGAAAGGGGGGATGGGAGGAGTGAGGGGAGGAGTGGAGCTCAAGAGGCAGGACCGGAAGGGGAAGAGAAAGCGGGTGGGGAAGGGGGGGAGGAGGAGGGGGGGAGGCGGAAGGGGAAGAGGAAGGTTCCTGAGCTGTTTCCTGTGAGCACGGGGCGGTGGCTGAATGAGGCGGCAGGGCGGATGGTGCAGGGAGGGGCGGGAGGAAAGTGCGTGGAAGCTTACAGGTGAGATTGTATGGAGGCTTACCACCAGTGGGCGCTGGGGCGCGTCCCCTCCTTAAAACCAAAGTCTTGGTGAGGCTGCCCAGTGTGGTATCCTGCTCTCTCCGCTTCCCTGAGCTGGTTCCTGCTCTCTCTGGTGCCTGGGCCGCTTCCTGTTCCTGAGCTGTTTCCTGTGAGCACGGGGCGGTGGCCGAATGAGGCGGCAGGGCGGATGGTGCAGGGAGGCGCGGAAGGAAAGTGCGTTGAGGCTTACGCTCCCTTAAAAATGTGGTAGGCTGGAGGACGTTTTGAGTCCGGGGATGATTCATAGTGTGCTTCTCCCCTTTGCCAGCCCAACCCTTCTTCTCCCCCACCTCCCCTCCCTCCCACCCACGGTCCCACCCCCTTGGTGTCCCCTCCCCTCCCTCCCACCCCCTAGGTGTCCCCTCCCCTCCCTCCCACCCCCCGACCGACCCCCCACCTGGATGCGGCCCCTCTAGGTCCGTGAGAGCAGAGGCAGCGTTGAGGGACGAACTCAGGCTGGAGGATGTGCCGAGTCCTGGGCAGTGGGCATGAGGCACTGCTCCCAATTGCCCACCCCTCACCCCTCCCATCTCCCTTCCCCCGTCCCCATCAATCTACCACATGCGGCCCCTAATGGTCCGTGAAAGCAGAGGCGGTGAAGGCGTTGAGGGACGAACTCAGGCTGGAGGATGTGCCGAGTCCTGGGCACGAGGCACTTCTCCCGCTTGCCCATCCCTCCCCTCTCACTCCTCCCCTCTCCCTCCCCTCCCCCTCCCACCTCTCTCTCCGCACCCCCTCCCCCTCCCCCCTTCACATGCGGCCCCTATAGGTCCGTGAGAGCAGAGGTGGTGAGGGCGTTGAGGGACCAACTCATGCTGGAGGGTGTGCTGAGCCCAGGGGTGATTCACCAGGCAACTGTTTTCTCCCTTCGCTTCCCATGCCCCTACACCTTGCGCCCCATGCTGCCCCACGCTGCCCCCTGTAGGTCCGTGCGAGCAGAGGCGGTGAAGGCGTTGAATGGACGAGCTAAGTCTGGAGGGCTTGCTGAGCCTGGGGGTGATTCACGAGGCCTCTCCTGCCTCCCCCGCTCCCCCCCGTCAACCCCGAAACCCTGACACCCCACAGGTCCGTGAGAGCAGAGGCTGTGAAGGCGCTGATGGACGAACTCAAGCTGGAGGATGTTCTGAGTCCTGGGGTGATTCGCAATGCTCGTCCCGTCTCTCCCCTTCTCATTGATCCTTCTATCCTTGAACCTTCAACACAGGTCCGTGAGAGCAGAGGCTGTGAAGGCGCTGATGGACGAACTCAAGCTGGAGGACGTGCTGAGCCCAGGGGTGATTCACGAGGCCCCGTGGCGGGTGCTGGAGCAGGCGTCCAAGGAGTGGGTGCAGGCTGCGTATATCATTGTAAGTATGCCATGAGTATGTTAGAACAAACATGCATCACCCACCGGAGGGATGTGCTGAGCCCTGGGGCGATTCACTGGGCCCTGTGGCGGGTGCTGGAGCAGGCATCCAAGGAGTGGGTGCAGGCTGCATATATCATTGTAAGGCTGATGCTATGACTACGTTAGAGTGTAATGAGTCGATTTTTTAGTCGATTAAGAAATCGACTCATTACACACGGGTTAGAACACGCGTCACCCAATGTGAAAACATGTTGAGTGCTGGGGTTGGTTCATGAGGCCCCGTGGCGGGTGCTGGAGTGGATGCATGCAAGCAGCCTATATCATTGTAAGGCTGAGGCTATGCCAAAGCATGGATGGTGTAAAAGTGTGCTGAGCCCGGGAGGGTGATTCACGAGGCACCGTGGTGGGTGCTGGAGCAGCAGGCGTTCAAAGGAGTGGGTGCGAGCAGACTATATCATTGAAGACTGACGCTATGCTAAAGCATGGATGGTTAGCAACCGTGCAAGGACGTGCTGTGTCCGGGGGTTATTCTTGAGGCCTCAACGGGAGTGCTGGAGCAGGCCCGAGAAAAACGGGTGCGGGTCGCCTATGGCTGATGTGGGTGGGTGTACACATAATTTTATGGAGCATGGATCGCCCCGAGGGGGCATCAGACAGCCGAAAGAGGCTTGGGGATGGGGGCATGGATACACAGAGACAAGTAGTGTGCTGTGGGTGTGTATCTCTTCCTGTCTGAAACCCTCTTGTGCTGCAGGGCGCTCTGATCACCCCCTTGGACACTCAAAGGTGAATCATGCTCCGACGTATCCCCCTCGTGCAACCCTAACGTCTTACAGGGAGCACTCATCATCCCCATGGAGCACCAGACGGCCAACGAGGCGTGGAGGGGCATGGACACGCAGAGGCGAGCCGCACTGCGAGGAGTGCTGGAGGATGGTGGCGTCGGGCGACGGGTTTTGTTTCTAGCAGACGTGCTTAGGGCCATTGTGTCGCGGCGCATGGCGGAGCAGCTGTTCTCCCTCCTGGACGCTTATCAAGTGGTTCAAGAGATCATGCCAGAGGTATGTGGGAGTGTGAGGTGGGTCTGGGTGCCTGATTGGCTTGGCGAAACATGGGGTTGCTTTGGCTTGGCAAAACGGGGGATGGGGTGTTGGGTTTTGGGTTTTGGGGAAGGTGGAGAAGGAGCACACAAAGCTGCTTGTCTGTAAAACTACTAGATCTACTACGTACGCGACTAATTCGTACTATATAGGCTAACTTAGGGCGAAGGAGACGAGGTAGTAGGGGAGAGGTTAGTGAGAAGTCCTGAGGCCATTTTTGTAGCTGAAAATGACCTGCGCGGATGGAAATCTCGACCCTAAGGTTGAAATATGAAGTGCGCAAATGTTGTGACGCATGGGTGGGCCGCGCGTCAGTTCGCCAAGCGGGTCGGCCCAGCCCGGCCCGTCATCGAACTCCCTGCCTGACGACGGGCCGGGCCGGCCCCCGCGGTCCCAAACCCGGCCCGGACCGAGCGGGCCGACCAGGGTGGAAATGTGGCCCGGCCCGTAAAAAAACGGGCCAGGCTCGGGCCAAGCCGGGCCTACGGGCGTTTTACTAATGCCTAGGTGTCCATGGTGAGGCTGTCGGTTATCAGTAGAGTAGAGTAGAGTAGAGTAGAGTAGAGTAGAGTAGAGTAGAGGCAACATGTTTGCCTGCGAGTGAGCGAAGGCTGTGTGGGGGGGGGGGCATGCGAGCATCTGCTGTTGGGGTGAGCAGTGGCAGCGTGCTAGCAGCGGCTCAAGCTGCTGCTGGGAGACTCTCACATTCACACACTCCCCTCATATCATATACCTCCTTCTCGTGTGAGGGCCTGCCCCGCTGCTGCTGGCCTGCTGCTGGCAGTGTGCTACCAGCGGGTCAAGCTGTTGCTCAAGACTCTCACATCACTCACTACACTCACAAATCTCCCTTCCTCTGCTGCTGGCTTCCCCTCCAATGCCTTTCCGTGCGCCTATCTCTTCTCTTGCAATTTTTGAGAATTCTCAAGAATCGCCTATCTCTTCTCGTGCAATTTTTGAGAATTCTCAAGAATCGCCTATCTCTTCCCGTGCAATTTTTGAGAATTCTCAAGAATCGCCTATCTCTTCCCGTGCAATTTTTTAGAATTCTCAAGAGTCGCCTATCTCTTCCCGTGCAATTTTTGAGAATTCTCAAGAGTCGCCTATCTCTTCCCGTGCAATTTTTGAGAATTCTCAAGAGTCACCTATCTCTTCCCGTGCAATTTTTGAGAATTCTCAAGAATCGCCTATCTCTTCCCGTGCAATTTTTGAGAATTCTCAAGAATCGCCTATCTCTTCCCGTGCAATTTTTGAGAATTCTCAAGAGTCGCCTATCTCTTCCCGTGCAATTTTTGAGAATTCTCAAGAGTCGCCTATCTCTTCCCGTGCAATTTTTTAGAATTCTCAAGAGTCGCCTATCTCTTCCCGTGCAATTTTTGAGAATTCTCAAGAATCGCCCATCTCTTCCCGTGCACTCCCCAGCTCTCTGCTACCTTCCAGGACCTGGAAGTCAGCGAAGTGGGTGGGGGGGGTGTGAGTAGACATGATCAAAACGCGATTGCGATTTAAATCGCATCGCATGCAGGTGTGATGATAAAAAAAGCGATGCGATTTTAAATCGCATCGCGCGATTTATTTTTCAAATAAAATAAAATCGCACATCGCATTTTACCCGCGATGTATTAAAAAATCGCATGCGATGTTTAATTAAATCGCGCAATGCGATTTTAAATCGCATCGCGTTTTAAAACAGAATTAAAAAACACCCCAAAAAAACAGGAAAAAACCATGGCTGCGGGGAAATTGACTCACGGGCAGTCGTACGCTAGAGTGCAAATAACCAGTGTGGTTTCAAAGTGGGTTTCAGAGTGGGTTTCAGTGCAATATCGCGCGCGATTTTTTAAAAATCGCATATCGCACTTAAATCGCGTATTTTAAGCGCGATTAAAATGCGATTAAAATTAAATCGCGCGATATTAATTCATCGCATCGCGCGATGATTAAAAAAAAAAAAACATCGCCATCGCAAAAATGCGTTTAAATGCGATGCGATGCGATTTTTTTTGCCCATGTCTAGGTGTGAGGGCCTGCCTCTGCTGCTGGTGCGAGCAGTGAAACTGCTCTTGGAAGACCCTCTCTGCTCTGCTGGGCCACTGAGTAGCGTGCATCCACTGGCTGAAGCTTCTCTTGGAATTGGAAGGCTCTCCCATCAGAGGGCACTGGGTTCTCGCACACGATCCTCGCTTCCCCTCCACCCCCGCCCTCGCCCTCTGCTCCAGCTCTCTGCCACCTTCCAGGACCTGAAGGTCAGCAGTGTGTGGGGTGCATGCGAGGGCTTACCTCTCCTCCTGGGGCGAGCAGTGGCGGCGTGCTTCCAGCGGCTGAAGCTTCTCACACACTATCCTCATGTCACCCCCCCAACCTTCAGTCTCTTCCCACTCCCCCTCCTCCCCCCTCTTTACCGATCCCTCTGATTGTAACCAGCTCTCTGCCACCTTCCAGGACCTGAAGGTCAGCAGTGTGTGGGGTGCATGCGAGGGCTTACCTCTCCTCCTGGGGCGAGCGGTGGCGGCGTGCTTCCAGCGGCTGAAGCTGCTTCTGGAAGACTCTGCTGCGTCTAACCTTGCGGATGCCATGCGGAAGCCTGTTCCGGCAAAGAAACCGGCTCTTAGGTAAGCACCAGTGGGTAAGCACCAGTGGGCGAGGAGAGCAGCAGTGGGCGAGCATGAGCGGTAACAGCCGGCTTCTAGCGATTCAAGTGGCTAGTGACGGAGCTGCTGACTGAGGACCGTGCTGTCTCCACTCTCCTCCCTGCTTTCCCCCCAGTTTCCTCACTCGCAGCGCCACCGCCAACAGCAGCGCGTTGGCGGCCCCTGACGAGTCTGTCTATGAGATCTCAGGCTTAATACAATACCCACCCCTCTTCTCACTCCTGCACCCCCCCCACCCCCCCCCCCCCCCCCCCCCCCCCACCCCAAACACCTTGCAGTTTCCTCACTCGCAGCGCCACCGCCGCCAACAGCAGCACATCTGGGGCCCCTGACGAGTCTGTCTATGAGACCCGAGGCGACTGACAATACCCACCGCTCTGCCCTCTCTCTTCTCACTCCTGGCATCCTGCCCACCCCCCACCTTGCAGCTTCCTCACTCGCAGCGCCACCGCCAACAGCAGCACAGCTGTGGCCCCTGACGAGTCTGTCTATGAGATCGTGCCCCGAGGGGGGGCAGTTGACTCCATCACCAGCTATGTGGCCAACTACATCCGCAGCTACATGCAGAGGTGAGGGCGAGGGAGCAGCCACATGCAGAGGTGAGGGTGAGGGAGCAGCCGCATGCAGAGGTGAGGCTCGTATGAGTGGCTGATGACCCAGTTTCTAGTTCCCAGAGGAATCGCGGTGGTTTCTTTCCCTCGCCAGCCATGTGGCCAGCTACATCCGCTGCAGCCACATGCAGAGGTGCGGGGACTTCTCCCTTTTCTCTCCTTCCGTGAGACCCATCCAGAAGCAGACCCGTGATAGAAGATTTGCTTTGGGAAATATAGGCTTCCTGACTCCTCTCTTCTCAAAATACCTCTTTTCTTTCCTTCCCGATGAAGTGCACTCCCTGAATTCTCTCTTCTCTCTCCTTCCGTGAGACCCGTCCAGAAGCGGACCGGTGATAGATGAGGTGTCATTGAACTAGGCAAAGAAGGCACAGCTTCGTTGACTCCCTAGCTTCCCTTTTCTGCCTCCTCGAGGCACACCCAGACGAAGACCCCAACTCCCTTGCTTGCTGCAGACCTCATTCCATCCCGACCCCTGCTTGTTCCCTGCCCAAAGAAAGCATGCGTGAGGAGTCTATTTTTGAGGCGCCTCAAAAATAGACCTCATTCCATCCCGACCCCTGCTTGTTCCCTGCCCACAGCAATCAATGAAAACGCAGCTACGTTGACTCCTTGACCTCCCTCTTCTCCACCCTCGAGACGCTCCCAGATGAAGACCCCCCAACTCCCTCACAGCAGACGTCCCAGACTCAGAAGTCACCAACCTTCCCTCCCCCCTTGCACCCAACCCAACAGGCAAGGAAGGCACAGCTACGTTGACTCCCTCACCCCTCCCTCCCTCTTCGCCATTCTTGAGACCCATCCAGACGAAGACCCCAACTCCCTCACAGCAGACACTTGATTCAATCACATACACACGCCCCTCCCGCCCCATCCCCCCTCCTCCCATTCGCAGGCAAGGAGAACGCAGCTACGTTGACTCCTTGACCTCCCTCTTCGCCATTCTTGAGACCCATCCGGACGAGGACCCCAACTCCCTCACAGCAGATTTCGCCCTCCTCCCCCTCCCCTCCACCGCCTCCTCCCTCTCCCCTCTCTCCTCCAATCCAATCGCTGCTGCCGCAGCCGCTGCCACGTCAGCATCTGCCATGTCAGCAGGGGCGGGCAATGGGAGGGCGCCAGGTGTCGGGAGGAGCTTGGAGAGTGAGACAGCTCAGCTGGTGATGGCTTTGAGGAGGAACCTAGAGTCTAGATCACGGCTTTATCCAGAAGAGGAGCTACAGCAGCTCTTCCTGATGAATAACCTCAATTATCTGGTGAAATCCATGTAAGTGAGTGGGCTTTATGGGGGGGTAAAACTTATAGTGAGGCTTGGAGGGAGCTACAGCAGCTCTTCCTTAAAGCCCAGGTCCCAAATTAGTCAAGCATGCATCAAACTGGGCCCAGTTTGATGCTGACCGTGCTGGCGAACAAACCAAGAAAAAAAAAGAACCAACTGTTCCTTCGCCACAGTGAGAGGCAAAATCGAGGTTGGAATATCTACGGTGGAAATCAACTTTGCAAACTGGGCCCAGTTTGATTCGTGCAGTTTCCACCGTTAGATCGGGCTTGCCAAGCCTAACTCCAAACCCTGCTCTCGTCAGGTTTCCAATCAACGGCTGTAAGTGAGCTTACAATTTGGGACTTCATGTGTCCCTGTGTCCCGTGAGATCCTCGTGTGACCCAACTTGAGCTCACCCCAAATCAAACTGGGCCCATCTTGCATATGAACCCTGCGCTAAGTAACAGAATCACGTTTTTTCACACCCAATAAAACAATCGTTTTTTTTTTCCCCCAACCAGCCCAAATTCTGCCCCTGGAGTTGCGTGAACTAATTTGGGATCTGGGCTTTAAGAACAACCTCAAATATGTGGTGAAATCCAGGGCTTTAAGGAGCAGCCTAGCTTGGATTTTGCACTGCAAGTCTGTGTCTTGACTTGCTTTGACTTGTTTTCATCTGGTTTGACTTGCGCTGACTTGTTTTGATCTGGTTTGACTTGCTTTGACTTGTTTTGATCTGATTTGACTTGGCAGGAATGACTGGCACGGGTGGCACTCACAGGGCATTGAAAAGAACCTGTCGGCTGTGAGGAGGTACGGTTTACTTCGGAAGTGGTCATAGGAAGGTATGGGTGCGAGAAGGTATGGGTGCGAGAAGGTGTGGATGCGAGAAGGTATGGGTGCGAGAAGGTATGGGTGCGAGAAGGTATGGATGCGAGAAGGTATGGGTGCGAGTAGGTATGGGTGCGAGAAGGTATGGGTGCGAGAAGGTATGGATGCGAGAAGGTATGGGTGCGAGAAGGTATGGGTGCGAGTAGGTATGGGTGCGAGAAGGTATGGGTGCGAGAAGGTATGGTGCGAGAAGGTATGGGTGCGAGAAGGTATTGGTGCGAGTAGGTATGGAGTAGGTATGGGTGCGAGTAGGTATGGGTGCGAGTAGGTATGGGTGCTAGAAGGTATGGTGGCTTTCTCTGATTGCCCCCTCTTTTCTCCCTCGTTTCCCCCCAGGGAGGGCGGCAATGATCTCGTGGTGGCCATAGCTGATCTGCACGATGACAGAGTGATATAGAGTGGTTCTGAGTGATACAGCCCTCTTTATTTCCTTCCCCATCCCACCCCTCCATCTCAGGGAGGGCGCTAAGGACCTTATGGTGGCCATCGCTGATCTGCACGATGACAGAGTGGTGCAGCAGCATGCGGGGGCGTTCCAGTCACTCGCCCTACTCAAGGTATGATGTGCAGTGTGCAGTGTGCAGCGTGCAGCGTGCAGCGTGCAGGGTGCAGTGTGCAGTGTGCAGCGACGATGCGGTGCAGCCATCCCACAGAACTGCTGTGAATCGTCTTTTTCTCTCTCTTTTTCCTGACTCCCTACTCCATCCCCATCACAGGTGATGACAGCCCTCAGCACCAACGACGATGCGGTGCAGCCATCCCACAGAACTGCTGCGGACTATGTCAAGGCAGAGATGCAACGGTGAGATGACATGTAACAGCGAGATGACATTCGACAGTAAAATAACATGTATTTGTGAGAATACGACGACAAGTAACGGCAAGATCACTTGTTACGGTTTGATGCCATGTAGCAGTAAAAGAGGCAGTAGCACTGGCCTTTTCTGGCGATTGGCTGAGTATCCGACGAGATTAGCACTCCACTGTCAATTCTCCATCCTTAAACCCTTAATGCCGCATATAGCACAGTTGGCAGAGACAATGAGCTATCCTGGCAATGGGCTGACGGTGCCTCTTATTCCCCCCTTCTCAACCATCCACTATTCACCATCCCCCCTGCGTGCAGATTGAAGCGGTTCAACTCGGCATTTGAGGAGCTCCAGGAGAGGCAGAGGCACTGGGCCATTCCTGACGATGGGCTGAAGGTGCCTCAGGCTCCTCCCTTCCCCACCGTCTAGTCTTCATTCTTCCTCCTGTCTTCCCTGTGCAGTCTAAAACGGTTCAACTTGGCATTTGAGGAGCTCCAGGAGAGGCAGAGGCACTGGGCCATTCCTGACGATGGGCTGAGGAGGAAGATCCGGGCGAAATGGGCGACCACGATCAAGGAGCGATACAGGAAGATGCTGCTGCCGTACTGGTGAGAGTGTGAGAGATAATCAGTTTATTTCTGTGTGTGTTTATGATTATTGGTTTCTCTACCACCCCCCTTTCTCGTTCTTATCGTCTAATGTCTAATAACGTTTTGCAGGGATGACTTGACATCATGCAAGTTCTATGCCTTCACCCCAGAAAGAGTGGAGGAAATTATTCAGCACACTTTCTTTATGGACCCTTCGGACTGAAACTTGAAATGTTTATCAATGCCCTTGAAATTGGAGAATCGAATGCTTATCAATGCTTCGTCCGTCGTTATTGAACAGTCTGTAGCTGTTACTTACTACAATCGCGAATACCAGTGATGCAACATTCCCCATCAACATGCACACTATCATCCTCCCTCCTGCTCGGTATACGGGGTATCCACAACCGTCCGATTTTGATCGGAGGGCTCTCGTCTGCGGTTCCGCAGATCCCAGCGATTTCCCGCCATTTTCGAAGCGCACAGCTGTATCAAACGGTAACTGGTAGGAGCTAAAAATGGGTGTCTTCGGTTGAATGCAGCTCTTCCAGTTCATTCCTTTTCTCCACTTCCTCTCCAGTATTTCGTAGGACGGACTCTGCAAGACAGCGGAAAACAGGACATGGTTCTTTCGCGTGTGCTACTCGGCGATCTTTCAAGTGTTTCTACCAGATCTGATCTTCTTAACCTCTTCCACTCACGACCAACGGCTCTTTCGATTCTCACTTCCCGCACGTTCGAGTTCATATAAAATAAACTCTCCTTTTTTAGGGTTGCGGCGATTACTAGTGGGCAATAGACCCGGAGGTAAAGCGTGGCACGCCAGATGATAAGCACCACGGGATGGAACAGAGCACGGGGAAGTTTCTCCGTTGGTTCCGGGTGTCAGAGAATGTGTTGCCGGATAAGGTGACAGCTGGTGCGTATAACGGGGTCTTGACTGTAGCGGTGCAAGGCCCCGCCTGAGGCGGCTAAGAGGAAGCTGGAAGTGACTGCGGAGATAAAGCGCGCGCGGCTCGGATAATAATCGCGGACATCTAGTGCAGCGTGCCGCTGGGATGCTTGTGGTTGTCTTAAAAGGCGTGGCATTCATGAGGTTGACTGTACAGATTGTTCGCATGAAGGCGTAGTGAGACATACACGCAGAAGGCCAATAGCTATTCACGACATGAAACTCACGGCACGACATGAAACTCATGGCACGACATGAAACTCACGGCACGACATGAAACTCATGGCACGACATGAAACTCATGGCACGACATGAACTCACGGCACGACATGAAACTCATGGCACGACATGAAACTCATGGCACGACATGAAACTCACGGCATGACATCATGTCCCTTCCCCTGTGTCTCCCTCCCTTTATTCGTTGAAATCACTCGTCGAAGTCTCTCAGGGTCCAGATCCATAAGATCCGTCGCCTGAATGCAGCAGACTCGCCGTCACTCCTCCTCTGCGTCCTTGCCGATTCCCAGCCAGTCTTGAAACGCATTGTAGGGCCAGCTTCAAAACCCTTTTCTGCTCAGGTACACGTTTTCCTTCTCAGCATCCCCAGCCTCCCTAACGTCCCTCCAAGTCCTCCTAAGGTGTGATCGACAAACCAATGGGAATATCAATGGGGATTTCGATGGGGCGCTTGCAGCAGCGGGGGCCAGTCTTAGGCGAGTAGCAGCAGCGAGGGCGAACTGTGGGGAACCCCTGGCAGCATTGCTGCCCGCAGCAGAAGCTTCCGGTTTCCTCCCCACTGCTGTCAATCCCAGGGCAGCATTCCCCGCCCCTCATGCCAGGAATACTGCAGCACTGGGGCTTTAAGTTGTCGTTGCAGCATACGCTCCCGCCGCAGCAGGATGATTTTTCCGGGCAGCCGCACTGCCCGCCGCAGCATTTCACGCCGCCTGCGCAGCACTTGCCGTTGCAGCAGGTGCTTCCGGGCTCGCAGCACTTGCCGTTGCAACAGGTGGACCCGTATTTGCAGCAGGAGCCGCCGCAGCAGAAGCTGGTGCGCATGCTGCAGCAGGTGCCGGCAGTGGTTGGGTCGCTGGTGGGCGAAGGCAGGCAGCAGGTGAGACCCTGAGATTCTCCTCCCAAGCAGCACTTGCCGCCACAGCAGCGAGGGGAAATTCCCTGTGAAGTCCATTGCTGGTTAGGGAGAAGGAAGAGGGATCAGCCTGTAGTAGAAGGCAGCAGCTCCCATTGCAGGTAATCTAGTAAAGAAGCAGAATGTGGTGGGACATGCAAGTGTGCGTATTTTGAGAACTCACCAGGCAGCAGCTGCCGTTGCAGTGAATCTGGGGCCCATAGCACCCGAACCGGCCCTTCTCAGTATCTGCTGAGCTGGCCTCGAGAACCAGAGGGCACGGCTGACGTGGCGGGATGCATGGCCGGTTAACAGGGTCAATGGGATCTATGGGGTCAATGGGCTCCTGGCATCCGCCAACGCGCTTGCAGATGGGATCTGGGAACTTGGTGAATATCTGCCGCCTGGGCGCAGAGGATGCTTCAATAGAAGGGGTCTCGTTTGTGGCAGAATCACCTGCTGCTGCTGTAGAGATAGCTGCTAAAGGGTCATTGGAGGATGGTTTGGCAAGACTGTTGAGATTGGAGTGGGTGGGCGCAGAGAACGAGCTGGTGAGAGCAGAAGAAACGAGAAGGAAGACTGAGAGGATTCGCAGGAAAGAAGCCATTGCTGCAGAGTCGACGAGCAAAACGATGAATTGGTGGGTGAGAGGACCAATTTTTGACTCCATGAATTATGTGCTCTCCTTCTACTCCAATTTGTGCATCTCGTGTTCGTGTTCCCCAGGTCTGTTGGGGGCTGCAGTCACGCCGCAATTTTCAGTGCGTCTGAGGGGAGTTCAGCGTGGTTATGTGCGGTTCAATGGGTTTTGCTTTCAGGAGGAATTTCTGGAGTCGGGAACTTGGGGCATTGGGGGAGGCTCCTATTAGCTGAACAGAGGGAAGGCGACGCGAGGGGGTGTAACCTGGCCGACTATTGCAGGAGAGAGGTTGCGGGCCAGTCGCTGATTGCGCGTTTACACGTAGCGTGTCACGCTTTTCAGAACCAGATTTTACTCCGCGCAGCCTCGTCAAGCCAGCAAAAGAGATGGATAGTGCAAATACGTTGAAACATTGTGTAAGTCCTCTACATATTGTGTAGGTAAGTAGTATCAATTGTTGCGAAGTTGATGAACACGGCTCTTCTAGACGCCCGTCAGCTGGTCGTTCTCGCGAATCTAACCTTCGCCGACCAGAACCGCCGCAGAGTAACAGCAGCCTCGTTTTCGTTTGCTGCATGTAACCGCTTCTCGAATTTTGTGAAATCGCCCGAGCCTAAATTCCGCCGCCGGAGCTGTCAGCAGAACTGACACCTGTCAACCCGTCAACCAATCAGTCGCACGTCAGTCAGTTTCCCGTAAACTTCATCTCAACCGTCTGAGACGTTTACGGCATGGCTCCTCACTCAATCGGGGCCGTCCCGAAGAGATCACCTAGCAAAAAGAATTCGCCCCTTTCCACAAACCCTCCACACACAGACCAGGAAACCGAACTAAATCGTCTTGAAACTTAGCGTTTTGGCTGCATGACCAAAGTTATTTTTCCCCAGGCTTTTCAACACCACCACCAGTTGTCGTGCCTAGCTGCTTTGCAACCGTGCGATCCGAAATTTATAACCCTGTTCCCCTTCTAGTCATTTCCCACCTCCGTACGCTCTAGTGCTGCAAGCCTATCATCTAATCAGCATTCTCTGTTTCGAAAATCGGCGAGCTTCTAGTCGAGTTCCTTCCTCTGAAGCCTTGGGATTGATTACCTGGACATTCTTCTGCTCGTTCCGTTATGGGCGGCGCGTTGGCCAAGTCGAATGAGCGAGATGCCAATGGGAAGGTGGTTCTTATAACGGGGTGCTCCTCTGGAGGAATTGGTTATGCCATCGCCGAGTAAGGCTCACATACGCTTCTGCCTTCGCTATAATCCAGGCATTCGTCGTGCTCACATGCGGCGTGCTCACATGCGGCGTGCTCACACGCGGCGTGCTCACATGCGGCGTGCTCACATGCGGCGTGCTCACACGCGGCGTGCTCACATGCGGCGTGCTCACATGCGGCGTGCTCACATGCGACGTGCTCACATGCGGCGTGCTCACATGCGGCGTGCTCACATGCGGCGTGCTCACATGCGACGTGCTTACATGCGGCGTGCTCACATGCGGCGGGCATTTTGGGATCAAGCTTGGCTGGATGTGCATCGTGCGAGAGGAGTATATTTTTTAGGAGCCTAAAAAATAGACTCCTCACGCATGGTCTATTTTTGAGGCGCCTCAATAATAGACTCCTTTTTTGGGATCAAGCTTGGCTGGATGTGCATCGTGCGCTTGATTTTGTCACGTTAACACAAGCCATGTCGCTTTTTCTTTGTCATTTTCCTCACCTTGCTTCTTTGCAAAAGTCAAGCCACGTCATTCTCCACTGCCTTTGCGTACTCTCCACACCCTTGCCACGTCATCGCTTTAGGGAGTTTCATCGGCGCGGAGCCAACGTGTTCGCCACGTCACGCCGGGTCGACACGATGAAGGGCCTCAAGGAGAAAGGGATGCACACGCTGCCACTCGACGTCACATCTGAGCCGTCCATCCAGGTGATCCGACGGTCGTGATCTTGCCTGTGCGAGAGATCCACATCTGAACGGCCCACGACTTTTTCAAAACGATCGGTCGTTCTTGCTGCTATTGGGTGGATTGGCCACCCCATTTCACACTTATGCCCCCCACCACCCACCCACCTCCTCCCCCCCCCCCCTTTTCACCCACCCACCCACCCACTCTCCCCCCCAACCCCCCTTCGCTCCTCTCCTTCCCCCCCCCTCCCCCCCCCCCCCCCCCCCCCCCAAACCCCACGCTTCCAGGCGGCAGTGAAGGAGGTGACTAGTGCAACAGGGCGAGTTGACGTGCTTGTGAATAACGCGGGCTGTGGGCTACCGGGGCCGCTAGCAGAAGTACCCGTCGCGAAGATCAAGCAGGTGGGAGCATGCGCGTGGTTTTTTTTTTTTTTTTTTTTTTTTTTTTTTTTCGTATTATTCTTTCCGACTGCCATTTCATGTCGTATTTTTCTTTCCATTTCAAAAACCACGACCGCCCTGCCTCCCCCTTCTTCCTCTTCTTGTCCCGTTTTCCAATCTCTCCGCTTCTGCTTTTCCAATCTCTCTCCCCCCCCCCCTCAGGTCTACGACACAAATCTCTTTGGTGCGTGGTGTTTGGGCCCCTTAAAAACTACACCCATCCTCTCTCTCCCCCCTCCTCTCACCCATCCTCTCTCCCCCCCTAGGTCTACGACACGAATCTCTTTGGTGCGTTGGCGCTGTCACAGGCGGTGATTCCCATCATGCACAAGCAGAAGGGCGGGCGGATTATTAATGTTTCCAGTGTCGCTGGTTACACCTACAGGTAACAGCTGAGGCTATTAATTCATATTTTATATTTTCAGTGTTCCTGGCTACACTTACAGGTAACAATTCAGACTAGAGGTTAGGATTCAGTCGATGTAGCCCTTCATGCAGAAGCAGAAGGGTGGCCGGATTATCAACGTCTCTAGTGTTGCTGGCTACACCCACAGGTAAGTGATGAGGCTAGATGCCCTTTACAGGTACGAGATGAGGGTAACCTCAAACCTGGCTACGCATGTATCTCTGCTTTCACACCGTTTCCCTGTAAATGGCATGAAAGGTTACAGCATTAAAATTCATTTTCTGTTTATTTTGACCCCTTGTTGCATGACACACTAGGCCGTTTGTGGGGACCTATGGCAGCAGCAAGGCGGCTTTGAGCGCAGTTACCAACTGCATGCGCGTGGAAATGAAACCTCTGGGGATCGGCGTGGTGCTCGTAACACCTGGTTACATCCGAACAAACATTTTCAGGTGCTATTTCTACGCAACTCATAACTGTAGTCATTCCGGGTGGCTGCCCTAAACACGGTGGGTCACCCGTGCTGTCAATCGTCTGAATGCTATCCACCTTCCTTGATCTCATACAAAGTGCGTAACTGCATTTGCATGTCCATCATACCTCCCATCCACAGCACAAATGATTCCATCTTCATCTCCCACATACTTGCTCCCCTCAACCCCCCCCCTCTCCTCAACACCCCCCTCCCCTCCCCCCCCCCCCTCCCTCCTCTCACTAACGTCCGTCCTCCCTCCCATACCGTCTCCCCATCTGCTCACTTTCTTTGCTGCAGCAAGAATGTGACACACATTCCCGTGCTCCCACCATCGAGCCCGTTTAAAGCCATGGAGATTAATATCCGTGAATCTTACGCCAAACGGGCCCTGAACCAGTCATTTCCACCCGCGTCCGATCTGGCAAAACGTATTGCTGACGCAGCACTAAGCCCGAATCCACCAATCAGGATATTGTTCGGCACAAGCGCGCTTCCTGCTGTGATTGCAGGGTCTATGCCCCTGTGGCTTCAAGATTTTGTGTACTCCCGGCTGTTTGGGAGCGGGAAAAATCTGTAACCATGCCGAAGTATGTGTCAATTCTCTCATCATAATCACAAATTTAATGGGTTTAAGGGCGAATTATCAGAAAGAATAATTGAACTAGAATGTGTGAGTACAAGGGTATATAGACTAGGGTGTTGTACCCTCTAAGGCACAATCCAGTATAGTCTACAGTAACAACCTAAGTTACATTTGACACACCCCCTAGACTATATAGGGGCAGTGCCTAACAGGGAAAGAAGCAGCTCAGGGCGGCACTACTAGTCCAGCCTCTGAGACAAGGGTCTACAGACCAGTCAAAAGGAGTACAGACAAGACAAGGGCAAGACCAGGGCGGCACTACTAGTCCAGCCACTAGGAGAGGCCACAAGGCCAGTCAGGGTAAAATATATATACGAAGGACAATACAAGGTCAAGGCCCTAGCAAGTGAGAGGCTAAAGGAACAAGACCTAGCTATACACAGTGCCGCTGATGATCTTTAGGCGCAAGCGCCTTCGTAAAGATATCAGCTGTGTTGGCACCGGAGGCCAAGTGTACTACGCGCGCCTGGCGGCGCTGCTGGAGCTCACGCAAGAGGAAGTACCGCAGCTGGATGTGCTTCGCTCTGCCCTCGAGTCGAGGCTCCTGACACAGGAGGATCATGGCCTTGTTGTCAGCGTACAGGACCGCGGCAGAGCTAGGCCGCTCACCTAAGTCAGTGAGCAAGAAGGTCAGCCAGCGGAGCTCCTGTGCCGCCATGGCACCGGCGTAGATCTCGGCCTCACAGCTAGACTGGGCAACAGACGAGGAGCGGGTACCTCTCCACGAGACGGCACCTGTACCAAGGCTGAAGCAGTAGCCCTGAGAGGACCTGAGGGTCTCGGCGTTGTCTGCCCAAGAAGCGTCTGTGTGTCCAGTAAGGACCGCTGGCCTCCGTCCTCCCAGCACTAACCCCATGCCCGATGTACTTGCAAGATAACGCAAAACCCTCTTAGCGGCAGACCAGTGCTCAGGTCGGTGTCTGCCTGGAGCCACAAAACGAGCCAGGATGCTGAGAGGGTATGCGAGATCTGGGCGAGTGCAAGTCATCAGGTAAATAAGGCAACCCACCAGCTCTGCGTAAGGACCACTGGGCTCTGCTGACTCCTCAGGAACTGGAGCCGAGAGCCTGTGGTCTAGAGGCACAGGAGTGGGCTGTGCAGAGGAGAACTGAAGGCCGAACCTCTGAAGGACCTGGCGCACCAAGTGTGACTGAATCAAAGTGATGGTGCGCGCTGCTCTATCCCT